GCTTTTTATAAAAAAATAAGGCATTTAAAATTAATATATATTTGCTTTCATGTAAACCTAACTGACTTCCTTTTTTGTCTTGTGGAACGTTCACCTGTGGAATGTACTCTTTGACGTCACAAGTCCATCACGAATGAGGTCATAGTTGAAATAAAAGCGATTTACTAGGAATCGCGTGTGCCTTGCTTTCTCCCATTGGAACGAGCGCTTACGTGCATTAACACAAAATACATAAGATCCGTGTGTGTATCGGCGAATTTCGAAGAAATTGTCTCTCGCCGATGTTTCGTGGCCAATAAAAGTGGGTCAATGAATTTTCTGGAAGGTGATACCTACCTTTGTGCTGTGCTGCTTACGTCGCAGCGGCCTTGGACGGACTAGACGCTCCACTATATTGCGAACAATTGAAACACGATCGCTTGATTTTCAGTCAAAATATTGATTATTTTTTTGCAAAAGTAGCTAATTTTTTAGTTACCAAACTAAAAACCTTAATAAGTTATGTACAATTGAAACACAATAAGTTATGTACAATTGAAACACGATCGCTTGATTTTCAGTCAAAATATTAATTATTTTTTTGCAAAAAGAGCTAATTTTTTAGTTACCAAACTAAAAACCTTATTAAGTTATGTATGTACATTATTATTATTAAGTTATGTATGTATATTATCGTCATTTTTGCATTGTCGTGTGTTGGTCTTAAATAAAAGTTAATATGCATTTACATTTTGCTAAAAATTTTATATGTTGTACTATCCCACTAAAAACGTTTCTATATATATTTTTTTAAATTTTTACCGTTCCGAAATATATAAAAAAGATTGTTTTAAAAATTTTAATAAGAATGATATTTACTTTTTTTAAAACTGATAAATCAATTTGCGTTATTTTTTTAATTTTTAGTTTTTAAACGTCCTTTTTATACCTAATGAATTAATTTTTTTAGTTTAAAAAAACTGATAAATTTTGTGTTTATTTCCGAAAATGCCATAAAGGCCAACTTTATTTGTCCACATCTATTTAAATTTTTTTATTACAAAAACAAAATTAAATTGCTAACTAAAAACTGTTTTTTTAACTTTTCGCTTTTAAACGTACCCTTCAAAATTTCATAAAATTTTTTAGTTTTTCAAAATTAAATCAATTATTTTAAGTTCGCCGTTTTTTGAAAAAAAACTGGTTATTTCGAGTTTATTTCCGCAAATGACATAAAGGCCAACTTTAAATTCATTTATGTAAATTTATTTTATTATTAAAACAAAAGTTTAAAAGTTTTATACAACATGACCAAATATTTTTTTGTATTTTTTTTAAATACCTTTAAAAACAAAAAAATGTAAAAGAAAAACATCTCTAATAGACGGTTTTTAAAAAAGTTTGAAAAACCGCAGCAATAAAAAAATTTTAAACAAAATATTACCCTAAGGTAGTATAAAATATAAAAATGCCAGCATAATCGAAAGGGGTCGAGTTCAGTAGAGGTTGATTTGGCGTGAAGTGCCCCTTATTTAGGTAGGTATAATTAAACCATAGGTATTATTATTAATATACATGTACCTATACCCTGAAAATTTTGTACAAATCATATGAACAACATCGAAGATACAGCGATTCAAAGTCGTCAAAAACCACTTTTCAGCAAAATAATCAAAAAGGGGCCATTTTTACCTACTGTGAAGCGCTGTATCTTCGTTTAATTTGTACAAAATTTTCAGGGTATACTAGCAAAAATACGGTCTTTAAGACATATTTTTTATTTACTTAACAAAAATTACCCTAAAAGTTATTTTTCGAACGTTTTTTCATTATTAAATAAAAGGGCTTTAAAAATATTTTCTTGAAAAACCCTCGAACACGTAAACTGAGATATGTATAAGTTGAAGTATTTTTAAACAAAATTTCATAAAGAATAATAAACACATTTTAGAGTTAGATTTTTTTATAGGTATACCTATTGTTTTTCCTGCAAAACATTTTATAAATCGAATACAAAATAATTATGGAACATATGGCGCCTCATAATTTCATTTTAGTTTATAAAAAGTTAAAGGAGAAGCTTAAAAAATATGGTTAGAAATTGCAACAAAAAATACCTACTCAACTTTTTTTTTATATTTTACATGATTTTAAATATGCACATGTTTAAGCTTTTGTGGTAACCCCTAAAACTCTTTTAATAAAAATTAATTAAAAAAAAAAATTACTAATAACGGTATTCATTTAATTTTAAGGGCATCTGAATCCTAACCTAGGTACCTGTTTATTACTTCCTTTTTTACCATTGCATTATTTACGACCTGCCATTTGACATCCTGTCCAAAACAAACAGGTAAAAAAAAAGATGTTAATAGACGCCACTACCGTTTTAAAGATTTATAATCTTGTCACAACATGTTTTCAACTTGTCATCAACCCTAATAAACAGTTTAGCAAAATTAAAACATTTTTTTGTTGACCAGTGAAATCATTAATCTTCAGACTTTTTGTAGGTAGGTACCTACCTAAATATAATTATATTAAATATAATAAATATTAATTGATATTTACGTTGTTTACTTTAGGAGTAATATACCTTTTTATGTATTCTCGAGTTCATTGTCACTTAATTCTAAAGGTCGAACTTAATCGCCAAACCAAATAAAAGTTTTTTAATTTTTATTTTCTACACTCTAAAAAGGATCTTGAACCTTAATTCCCGCCCACAACTACGCCCGAAACAAAAGAAACCACTCAACAATTTGCATTCAAAGAATAATTAGAAGTACTCCCTCAAAATTATCACTTTAGCACGTTTAATTGCCTAAAATTCGCGTTGTCGCAGTTGGCTGTGTCGATATTTCATTCTTTTGACGTTTGTCTCATCTGTCAACAATCAACAGGTCGGCCAACTAGTCGGAGCACGTTTATTTCGTGCAGCGTGGTGCAATCGCCGCTCCGAACCAATGAAAACCGCTGATTCGTCTTCCGTCTCTCTCGCACCTGGCTACGTCACGCGGTCATGCGAGATCTCGGCGCTCGAACAATTCGAATTATTTCACGATATGACAGTTGATTGTCAAAGTCGGCGTTGTTTAGATTAAAACGCGCGCGCCGCGATCTTTTGTCCATTGTTTTTGTTCTTTTGTTGTTCGATTGTGACGTGAATTTGTTATTATTAATTGTGCACGTGTTCGAGAGAAAACGCGGATATTTCGCTGTTTCTGTCAAAGGTCAGTCAGTTGTTTTACTTTGTTAAACATTTGGCGGTTTTATTAAGGTGTAAAATGGTGGGCGTTTTAGTTAACACAATTAATATAATTCGATTACAGTATATTTTGTGGTCAAAAATAGCGCGTTAATTACCTTAAAAACAGACAAAAGATGTTTGTTATTTGTTTATCGTATCTCCACGCCTTTTCCTCTTGTAATGTCTGGGTTTTCCATTCGCTGATAACGTTGTTACATCCTCTCATTTTATTGCATACATTTTTTACTCGCGGTTTTACACCGAAGGTCAGGAGGTATTTTATTATGTGTTTGCCACCATTATACCCAATGACATGCCCGTGCGCACGGGGGGTTTTGGGTGTTCAAAACCACCCCCAGGAGGGTTTTTTTTCTTTTCATGAAATTCTACTTGAAGAACTGAAAAATAACCTATAAATACTTAAATACTTTTTTAATAAAATATTTCACTTTCACGGCTATGCCTTATAAACTTTTATTGCGGCAATATACCTATATTTGTTAATTTTTGACAGTACGGACAAAATGAGGTTGTATTATGTATTTTTGAGGTTTTTTGTTATCAGTGGACAAATTTAATCGTTTGCTGTACATTTAAGGTTAATAGTCTTTCCGAGAGTCTTTCTTTCTTGGTTTTGGCCATCCTGGATGTTGGCTTTTCTTCCTTTAAGTAACCATTGTATGCGGTTGAAGTCGATAAGAAAGTTAAACGTTTTAATTTAATTAAAACAAAAATGTCTGTCTTTACAGAGAGAATCCTTGAAAATGAAATAACAAATGTGGGAAATTCTAGCTCGCGCTACTAACTAAATGCTAAAATGCTTTAAAGGAGTATACAGGGTCATCAACTGCATTAGAAAAATGCCTGATCCAATAACTCACGTAAAGAGAAACAAAGAGCAAAATTTATGTACAAGAATTTCCTATGTTTATAAAATCTAGTAGCCTTGGCGGGTTGCTTGATTTAGATTAAAGGCGCGAATTTTAAAATCGTTTTTGTACCGTAAAATCAGCAGTGTTCAGTAGGTAGGTATTCACTTAAAGAGAAACAAAGAGCAAAATTTATATACAAGAATTTCCTATGTTTATAAAATCTAGTAGCCTTGAGGGTTGCTTGATTTAGATTAGAGTTAAAGGCGCGAATTTTAAAATCATTTTGTACCGTAATCAGCAGTGTTATTTGTTTGATAAGGCGGTAAAGATCTAAGTAAGCTATTTATTAATCTTATTGCACAATTAATGGGAGCGTACTTGGTACAACCAATTGCAAATAAATTAAAGTCTATTGTGATTTTAATAAGATTAAATCTTGTCGTAGATTTTGGACATTCTATTTTTATATTAATTATATTTTCATTAAATCATAATAAATTTAAAATTTACAAAACATTTTTTATATTAACCCATAAAGCACAAATTTTCTATCGCAACACCTTTATTCTCGGTATGCGAAGTATTTCCGATGCTAGCTCGCTTACCGCGATGACTCATCGACGAAATTATTAAATTGTTCCGTGTTTTTTCAACCTAACTCTTAAATCTTGCAATTTTATCACATAACAACATAGGTGAACTAAATAAAAATGCAGCTGTTAACTGCATATTACCTGTCAAATAAACAAAATCTTAAAACAAATAAGCATCGCGGCTCCGCCCCTTCTCTTTCGGGCCAATGGACGCGCCCGTTTCTCGGAAATCGTTTATTTTTTCGACGATTATTTTGTTTCGCCGAAGTATGTTTTATTTATCGATGTTTTTTTTTTGTTTTACAGGTAAGGCCCAGTACCAATCTTCTGTTCGAGGGATTGTCAAAAGGCGTAAGTGCTTTTTTATTGTTATTTATTATGTTCGCGATTTTTTTGTTTGGTCAGATATACTGTCCTTGTACTGTAAAGCAGCTTTACTAAAGCTAAGGCATTTCCTGTTTGACGGAAGATTTACTAAGTTGTCTAAGTTGATTAATTATTTATAAACATGCTTCAAGATTTGTATGTATTCAGCTTTAAAAAATAAAAGTGTGTGTTTTTATATTTTCTTACAAAGTAAGACATTTATTGAAATTGGTGGGAAATTTAAATCAATTATAAAATAATTTATAAAACCTAATGAATTCATAATTAGACCTAGATCAAGTTAAAATCTAGAACGAAAAAAAAACATATATTTCAAATTAATAATATTAACATTAAATTTTGGTCGCGACTTAATAAAATTAAACCTACGTAAAAAAGGATAATGATTAAAAAAGGCAAGGTCGCAAATTTATCAGTTATGTTTAACGGATTTTACCGATATTTTTTTATACCTAATGGCTTTAAAATTATATTAATACCTACATGTTTGTGTCATGGAGCCTACACGAGGAGTACTCACACTTTATAGACTAAAACGTACAAATTATGTTTTCAAGTTTTTACCACTAGCGGCGCTTATTTTCATTTTGTACTGACCTCTGCTTATGTTTCGGTACATAACCTTATAACACTGGATGCGTAATATGTGTCAAAACCATCCCGTTTGTTTGGCTATATGTCATGATATGTAGATCATGATAAACTGTTTTTTTTATAAAAATACAGTTATCATGATGCATGATCTACACAGGGGTGAGTCGCATACAAATGGGTCACACTGTATATTAAAGATTTAAACCTAGTGTTGCCAATTGATTTTACCAATTTATTATCAAAAGTTTCTGGGTTTACTTACAAATTACTTACTACTTAAAAAAAAATCTATTTTTTTTAAATTAAACATTATAAAAGTCGTTAAACTTTTAAATTTTTAAGAATTAATTTAGTGATTTAAAAAATATATCTATGCACGTGTAAATTTTATTTAAAAATATTAAGTAGGAACGATTTTGTAGCTAAATTAAAAATGCACAAAAATTACTATTTACAAAAATGTATTCTGTCAAGTAATTAATCCATGAAAAAAATATTGAAAAAAAAATTAAACCACTTAAGTAATATATAATAATAGATTGATAAAATTCAGAACACTAGTGCCCTCTTATTTTAAGAAGCCATTTGTAGGTATTAAAATAATACCAAATTATGTATACTTACTTCTTGTGTAGGCTCCATTGACAAGGTTTAAAAAGTGTTTCTAATCAGATTGGTCTGTAAGGAATTTTGTAAGTAAAGTACAGTTGTAAGTAAAATGTAAGTAATCATGATATAAGTTAAGTAAAAACTTTTACTTGTATAAGTAAATTTTGCTATAAATTCTATATTTGGAAACTCGAAAACTGGACGTTTTGAGAATTTCATTATTAATGTTTGTCAACATTGCACAGAAGTGCCTAACCGTCACTAATACGAGAATATTTATCTGATTTCCTGATATTTTTTCGGGTTCTAGACTGGTTTAAAGACTTTTATAATCTCTTTTTAATGTTGTAAGTAATTTGTAAGTTAACCCAGAAACTTTTGATAATAAATTGGTAAAATCAATTGGCAACACTGGGTTTAAATCTTTAATATACAGTGTGTCCCATTTGTATGCGACTCACCCCTGTAAATATATACATATATATTTACGTCAAAAGAGTTTATAGTAAAACCAATCTGGTATGTCATAAACAAAACTATTAATAAATAAAAAGCATTTAAAATCCTGTAGTAAAAAATTCAATCGACAATTAACTATTACGAAACCGAGTCATTCATTCATAAAACTCGACTGGCTCCAGAGAGAGCAAGTGGATGACTCAACTTTTTCTAAGAAGTTTTCTATCCCGAGAAATGGCCAAGCTGCCTTCAGCGTGACCTTACACACCGGAAACTATAGATTAATAAAAAACTGAAACAATTTAATGTCTTCTATAATTTAAGTTAATTGTACCGGGAAATTTGTATTGGAAATTTGGCAAAGACGCGTTACTTTTTTAACAAAAATAAATACAATGTTGACAGCTTTAAAATACATTTTACATGGTTGTCAGACGTATTTAAATCAAAATCATCGAAAAAAACTTTATTTTTGTAAAAGTTTTTGATATGGGTGAATATTAAACATCTAGTAATTATCACTGGCCTAGGCAATGCGGCAGCACTGTAACCCAAAATAAAAACTGTTTCCTTGTTAGCACAACTTAACGGTTTAATAAATTTGCCAATTAAACACATACACAAGTACGTATTATTTATTTATTGATATCGATAAATATTGGACAATATATGGCTTGGAACAATTATATTATACGTATATATGCGATTTATGTATGTTATCTACTTTTACATAAATACAGTTTCGTATTTCAAATCGCAACTTTATTTACTAAATAATTTAGGTCGAGCTATACATTTGTTTATATAATAAATATAATAGTAAAGCGCTCAAATAATTATCGGGATTTCTATCGCAAAGGTACATGACAACACCGGACAATTTGGAAAATCTATTGAGTAACCCGGTTTGTCAATGTCAAAAATCAAATTGGCTTTACCGATGGAACGTTGCCAAATGTATTAACCTTGATAAACAAAACAGTTTTGTGGACATGGCAAATGTAATTCGGATTTTCCAATTGTTAAAATTATAATAGATAATGAATTATTGATAATTAAGCGAGATGAATTGTTTTTCTAATCTTTACTAGAAAGCTTGTTAAGGATTATTATTATCATATTTAGAATGACACCTGCACCGGTAAAAATAAAAATATATTTTTAAAACTTCTCACGATGCACTGTGTACGAATATATTTTTTAATTGGCATTTTAAAAATAATTTTCGCACATTGTGCGCGAGGCAATTGGCTTTATTAACCGCATACTTTACCGTCTAAAACGGAAGTCGCGGTAATAAATTTGGCGCCGACGCCTTTGAAAAGATGCTTTTCTTCGATAGCACGAGACTTTGTAATGTAATTGATGAAATTTTTTGTAGGTTTAACAACAAAATAACCTTATCTACTAAAATGTACGGTTAATTTCTCGGAACTGTTTCCGTTTTTGTTTTCCTTTACTAATGGAATTTTAAATGGGGGAATTTTACAAAAAATAAAACTTTTCCTTTCGATCGATTTTGTCTCTAGTTGGAAATGAAATTATCTATTGTTTGCACTTTTGTTTTCAAGGCAAGGTCGATGGCGACTTAACCATAAAAAGAAAAAGGAAAATCGAAAAAATGCGCACATGATTTTCAAGGTTATCTATTCAAAAATAATCCGATTTGCCAATTTTATTTAATTTTTTAAAAAAGTATGTAATTTTTACTAAAATTTAAAATAATTATACATTTTATTAATTATCTATGTGATAATGTTTAATTGAACCTATAAAATATTATACAAAATATGTTTTTGTATCACCTAGGCATTATGAATTATTTAAAACATTTTTTTATGATTAACAATGTTACTGATACTACGTTTTTTAAAAAATCTAAATTTTCTGAATTTTTTATAATATTATATTTATCGTAGGTATCTTGGAATTTTCAATATTCAAAGTTTTTGATTTTGTTTATAGTCTTAAATAATATTCCAAACAACTTGGCAAAGCTGCTATAGTGCATCGGCGGAAAAACACATTCTTAAAATGTTTTTATTTTTAATTTTATGAAGGCAATTTGCTTAAAACGCCCATAGTTTTCGATAAAAAAATTTGATTACTTTTGTTTTAATTTCATGAACCCTATAAGTAGAGATTTTTTTTTAATAGTAAATTCGGCTAAAAATTACGACCTTAAAAATATATTTTTGTTTGTAAATATTATAACCAATTATATTATTATTATGACCAATTAATTCTTATTAAAAAATATTAAGATTTAAGCTTTTTTCTATACGCATATAAATATTTACATAACTATGATTTACAGGGTTTTCTCTACACCAAATTGTTTAGTAAGCTTTGCTTTTGAAATACAAGAAGAATTAGCTGGATAAAAGTGCATAAAAAAGTAATGAATATTTATTTGTCGCGCAGCATATATGCATATAGCATGCTATAGCTGCATCGTAGTAGCTAGGGTTTTAAAGTGTCCAAAAAAACGGAAAAATTTTATTTCGTTTTTTCCCAGGCCTTGGAAAAAATGGTTTTTTTGGGAAAAATTGAATTTTTTTGGGAAATATACACATTTGAAAAAAAGTTGCATTAACATTATTTTAATTTAAAAAAATATCCTTACAGAAAAAAATATAAAACTAAACATTGAATTAAATTAAATTGATTCAATATACTGTTGGTTGGGTTTTTTTGAAAAAAGGAGTCCATTAAAAATATACAATTACAAAATAATGAATGATTTATAAAGTTAAATTACAAAATTATAATTTTATTAATCGAAGTGTCAAATAAAACGAAAGTTATGTTAATACAGCACCGAATATTTTTTTTGCGACCCGGTAGAATATTGTTACTGAATTAAAATAAAAGGAAGAAATATTATAATCATAATATTATGTTTATATTCAGCGTCGAAAATTCACTTTTTTTTTTAAATCAGTGTACCAATAGCATCCGTAAAAATTTGGCAATTTTCAGAAAAATTGTCTTTTGCATTTTTTCTTATTACCCTTTGAATAAAATGAAAAAAATGCAAAAGTCTATTTTTTTGAAAATTCCCCAATTTTTCCGTTTTCCGGAAAAAACGGTTTTTTTCGCCGGCTTAATTTTTCCGAAAATTTTAAAGCCCCTTTAGTAGCTCGAAAGATTTACGACAAATTTATTAAAATATTTTTGCAATTAAAATACAATTAATATTTATTTGTAATCAAAAGTTATTGATTTATTTCCGGAAACTTAAAACGTATTTTTTACAATAAATATGTGTAATAACATTACACAGTCAAAAATATTTATTAGTAATAAAAAGGTTATTTAATTATTTCCGCAAAACGGTGCTTTTTGACGTGCTAGAAGCTGATTTTGATAATTTTTTTTAAATATATGTTTACTCTTTAGTAACGATTTTATTTACATTTTTGTTCAGATTTTAATTTACCTACAGGGTACAAATATTTATGATCGTTTAGCAATTAGGTAAATTTTGCGATTTTTAACAATATATTTTTTTTTCTATCCAAAATTTATTATACTTTCCATTTTAATGCTACAATTTTTGCTAAAGGTGGGCGACAGACAATTAAAAAAAAGGCGTGCAAAACGCCCAAAAAGGTGCGCCCACTTGACCTTCCTCTACTCTAGAGAAAATTGCATAATTTTCCACAGCGTTTGTCCATACAGTTTTCCGCATCACCACCAACAAAAACAACACGAATTATGAAAATCGGTAGTAGTGTGCCGCTCTGTTGCGAATAAAATAATAAAACCGCGTGTTTATTTATAAACTGAAAATCGCGTAAGCTCGTGCTTCTAATTTGGGCGATGTGCTGTGGGTGGACGACAAAATCTCGAGATCCCGTTTGCGAAAATCATTTAACGACAAGCTGGGCCTCGGTTCGCTCCTGCCTGGCGAAAAAATTCAATTTTTTCACATCGAACGAACGAATTAATAATATTCAACGACACAACCGACTACGCTAACTTATTATTATTATTTTATTAACGCTACTATTTATTTTGATTTTTGATGAGTGCTATCGACACAATGGCTTACCTAGACCAAAAAGAAATCGCCCATTTTCTGGCCCAAGAGTTATTTCAACAGGTATTTTTTTTAAATGAGTGTTTTTGCCACAATAACATTGATTTAACATAACCTATCCCAATTCTATAATATACCTTAATCATCCTAATAACCAGTTATTTAGAACCAATTACAATAACATCAACGGTTTATTTTTAAATATGACATTATAATACACAAACATGACTAACATGATTTGTTTTCCGCATACAACCAAATCTAATAAATAAAAAATAGGTTTTTAACCTTACAAATTCGTTTAATTTACATTTAATAAAAAGCATGCTAGTATTCAAATATTTTAGAATAATTTTGGCCGCGCTAAACTACCAAACACTATTTTTAACCTATTTGTGTACAAGTTTATTTTCGATTGTGATTAAATTTAGACGCGGATAGCGAATTTTGTTTTATACGCCAACTACATAGTATGTACTTTCTATCTCTGCCACACAGGAAATGCAACCGTCAAAGGTGCAGTTTGACGTTTCATAAATGATATTGGTAATTAATTTTTTTAATGTCGCGCAAATGTAACTTGTTTTTCTATTGTTAATTGTTTTAAAATAATAATAATAAAATGTAAAAGGTAAAGTCGCAAATTTCAAGAAACACCTTCCTTTAAAAAAACTGACTGATTTTTACACTATTTATAACGTATAACGTTATCTGTCACTTTTATTTATTTGAACCTTAAACAAGGAAAGAAAGTGGATGCTTATTTCACAAAGGCGTAGTGAATTGTGACTGAAAATTGTGTATATGGTGCCAAACAGCTCGTTACCAAGTTTGTTTTGTGTTTTTGCGTTAGAAGTGAATTAAAGACGTCGCACAGTGCGGACTACTGTGGACAAAAATCGAAAAAGGGAGTGTGAATTTGTAATGTTCTAATATTGCAAAAGTATAGACAAAAGTCCGGTTTATCCATAATCATAAACTATTTTTTAGTCGCACTTTCAAAAATGGACAAAATAATTAGTTTAAGTCGTAATGTTAAAACTTTACGATAAAATCGTATAAAATACCTATTAGAAAATTAATTTTACTGGATCTGCATTTTATTATAAAACATTTTTTCTGCAAGTTTATATACAAAGTTTATATACAAAGTTTATATACAAAAGTGCTCTTTTAGTTCCACCCTTACTTCTTAAGAAGTCCCATAAGCCAACTGAATGGCTTGTGCGGGTTAGGGGTAGGAACGGACCGTGGGCTTAAAGTCCCCTCCGAAGGACTAATACACAATAGGACAAACACATTGCATTGTATTGCAGTGGTATAGACTTGCACTATTTGTTTGAATAAAATTTTGTAAAATTCAAATACAGCTTTTTAAATAATTTAATTAAAACTGATATGCTTACAAAAATAAATTATTATCACTTTCCCTAAGGTTTAAAAAAATTGCATAACTTTGCACAGGCTGGCAATAACCCTAAATATTAGTCCTATCATTTAGCAAAAAGGTGGCATAAATATTTTTTGCTACTAGCTGCTACTAAGGGTGCTGTAATTTTTTTAAATGAAAATTTTTCAGTCACAATACTAAAATATATAAAAATATAAAAATATATTGGTGTTATGTAATAATATATATGTAATAAAAATATTTGTCCAAACATATTTATGGTATCCACACTCCACAACAAAAAACCAAAACAACCTTTTTTTCGGTCGATAGGAATGCACAAACAAAATTAAATTAAGGTACCTATTCAATTACTGCAATAAAAATCCTATCAGTCTTAAAATATACATATTTACCGAAAATCATTTGAATGTTTATGGCAAGCGAATATTTTTGTGCAATGCAAAATAGTGGCGAAGGTATGTACATTACTATTTTTTTATTATAAAAAAAATTATTTTAAAAAAACGTCTGATTTTCATATTTTGGGGTTTAAAATGGTATATTGTTCAACAAGTGAAGCAAATAGTCGATTTGTTTGGCACGCGAGCGTAGCAAGCAAGATTATAGCACACAAGAAAAACAAGTCAAAAAAATACAAATATAGATTTAATAAACATTCTTTTGCTTTCGTCTGATCCCTTAATTTCTATGAACAGAAACATTCCTAAAAGACCGCCTCATAGTTTTGAGGGGATAGAAAAATATCTTATATAAAGAACAAATTAATTTATCATCTGACGAAAGCAGGGAATAAAAAAATTGTTTAATTTCTGATTAGTATTTTTATTTTTAATTTTTTTTACACCTTGCATATCGCACAAGATTTTCATGTTGTAAAATACTTTCTATTTCAAAAATTTTGTTTTTATTATTATAGTGACATAAGTTGAACAAAAAAAAACATAAGAATAAAATTAAGTTTAACTTTAACCACAAAAGTAAATTGATTTTTATTTGAAAGAAAACTGTTTTTTATTTTTATTAATTTACCTTTTGAATATTTTTAATAAAATGACATTAAAGACATTAAATTTGTACTTATTTTTAAGCTTTACACTACAATTTACCACATACACTATGAAAAAAGCATATATTTTTAAAAACAATTAAATTATTGATTTTTGTCCAAAAACCCTATTTTTGTCCGCACTGTGCGTCGGCTTACTAAATTACTACAAAATAAACAACATCAAAACATTTTATTATGTTCGCACAAAATAGTATTGAATACGCGACGGCATAACTTCCACTCTCTTCCCTACTCTACATTTTAAATAAATCTTTTGACATCCTTCATTGTCATGCTGACAAAATATCAGTACCTTCTAGATAATTAAGTTTTATTTAAGCAGTTTTTAACGTAATTTCTTCCTTTTGCAGTATATGACTTATGAGGGTCTCCATTCAGGTGTGCCCACAAGAACGACCCCAACAGTGACCCCGACGATCCATAGAAATATAGAGCAGACTTTTATCGAACTCCAAAAGACGGAGCACCACGAGAACGAAGCGGGATTTGTGCCTCCGATGGTTCACAATATAGGTAATTATGATTTTTTTTAGTCAAGAACTTTGTAGAGACGTTAGTTTGGACTATTCGCATGCGCAATAGCAACTCAATACAGATTAATACAGATGTATGGGGCGCTGTTTTATTTTTTATTTAGTAATTAATTTTATGTGTTAACCCTAGAGTGATATTTTCAATTAGATAAAAATATTACATAAGAATTTTTATTTTGCGAATAAATAATATTATAGCAAAATTTAATTGTTTCTTATTTTTTTATTTTTTGTTAAACACAGCTTATTAATTCGCTAAATTAAAAATTAGATTTAATTTTTATGTCAAAGTGATATTTTTTATTTAGTGAATTAAAATATTTGCTTCTTAAAGTTGTATTTTTTTGCTAAACATATACCATATACTCTATATGCAGATATTTTTAATTAAATGTAATATTAATTCCAACTGATTGAGAGTTTGGATACCCCTGTTATTCCATACGCCACAAAAACCAACCCACTCCAACAACAAACTAACGTGCACTGTCCTTGTTTAGCACATGCTGGGTCAGTGCGACATCGGACTCACGTACGTTGTAGATCCCAGTGATTGTGCCGCCATCTAGCGACAGAATTAGTTTGGTGTACCAGGGGTGTCCAAAAAATATCACATTTAATTAAAAATATCTGCTGATTTAATAAAATTAAATCGAATTAAAAATATCTCCTATAATATTTGTAATACATTTAAACATTTCTCCCATGATATTTTTAATTTAGCGAATGAAATATATGTGTTTAACAAAAAAATACAAATATAAGAAACACATACATATGTATGTTAAATTCAATAAATTAAAAATATCAGTTTGGGATTAAAAATACCTATCTAATTTTTAAATAAATGCCATGATATTTTTAATTCACAGATTAAACATAAATTAAGTAGATTTAATTTTTATGCTAAACATATATTTTTAATTCAGTAATTTGGCCATTTCAAGCGGACGGAGGGGACAAATCACAAACCTTTTTTTAATAAAAAAAATTTTAGGGAATTTATTATACATTATTTTTGCATCAAAATTGTCAAATATATTCTTCTTTTATTAGGCTATACATTAAATAAAAAAATCGCAAGAAATATTTTATAAAAGTAGAGATAATTTCAATTATTGACAGGGGTGGACGGGACAAGATAAATCTTTTTTTTGTCCCGTCCACACCTTTTTACTAACTTTTATAAAATATTTCTTGCGTTTTTTTTATTTAATGTATAACCTAATAAAAGAAGAATATTTTTGACAATTTTGATGACAAAATATTATATAATAAATAATCTACAATTTTTTTTATACAAACAGTTTTGTAATTCGTGCGTTTCGCGCGCTTGAAATGGCCGAAATTTAAAATATCTCCTTGTATTTGTATTTTTTAGTTAAACACATATTTTTTATTCGTTAAATTAAAAATATCATAGGAGAAATTTTAAAATGAATTAAAAATATAGGAGTAATTTTTAATTCCATTAATTTTTATATTTTTTTTAAATGCAGATATTTTTAATTGAATGTGATATTTTTAATTCCTACTGATTGAGAGTTAACAGGGGTTAAAAATTAAAAAATATGTGTTTAACTAAAAAATACAAATATAATAAACAGATATTTGAAAAATTATTACTAAGTATATGCTTTCATGCAAAATTTTACAGTATCAACTTTAGAAGCCAACTTGGTCGCCTTTGCCGATTTTCTAAGGTCGCGCCCGTTAGCAGATATTTTATCCTTAACCAACGTCCCGAGTCCGCCCGCTTGCCGAGTCCCGCTGTCACACTGTAAATCGGTATTATTTTTCGAGCGATAAGATTTTTACAATAAGCTCGGTAGCTCGATGGAAGGGCGCCTGCTCTGCATGCGAGAGATACGGGGTTCGCTTCTTGGTGCCTCCACAACTTTTTTTAATTTTTTTTTAAAGAATTTATATACCGAAATAATACAATGTGGCCTTAAAAGCATTTATATTTAATTTTACATTAATATTTTAATTTATTTACCTTTCCTCATAATCATTTTGCTACAGTTATATAATATAAAATGTAATTAAATGAATATTCCTTCGTTGAAAAATTTTTACTCAATAGGGCGGGGGGGGGGGGTCAATGGGGCGGGGTCGGTTGGGTTGGGTTGTTGGGTTTGGGTTGGTTTCGAAGCTTCGCAATTTTTCTGTACCTAGACGTTAGTCACTGAGCTCGCAAGCGCGAGATGACTCGGTAAAGCAGCGGGACTCGGCAAGCGTTCGGACTCGGGACGTTGGTTAAGGAAAAAATATCTGCCGCCCGTTACGCGATCCATGACCTTATAAAAGGTTTTCTATACAAGTTTTTATTGACATTTTGTTTGAGTTAAATGTCTAATTTTTTCTACTATTTTTGTATATTAACGTATCTGAACAACCACTTTATTATCAAGAAAAAACGCAGTGTCAGTGTCGCACCCGTTACAATGGAAATACCCTAAATTAAAAATATCAGTTTGGCATAAAAATTAAATTAAATTTTAAATATCCACTATGATATTTTTTATCTACTTGAAAATATCACTTTAGTGTTTTAAAACACGTAAGAATAGTTCCTGAATAAAAAATAAATCGGAGCCCCAGATGTTATTGCGCATGCGAATAATCCGAGAACTGCTTCATAAAACAAACCTTATGCAAAATGTATCAGTTTTTTATGTTTTAAATGATTTTTAATACTTTTCTATAATTTTAAAATATTTTTTTATGGTTCAGATTTTTAAAAATGGTAAAAGTTTTCATGATTTTAAACAAATTTTAAAATATTAACAATATATTTTTCTTTCTAGGAAATAACCAGTACATCCCAGTATCTGAAGCCGCCGACATCTACAGCCTGAAATCCTCCCCGAACCTGAACAGCAGCCTGTGGCACAGCAACCTCTCGCAATCCTCCCTCTCCGACTGCGACACCCGTTCAACCCCGCCACTCAGCATCAGCGGCGGGTACGAGGGCGGCTCGGCCGGCGGCGGCGGCGGCCAAACCACGCGAAGAAACATGGGCGGCAGAAAACCGACCAAGGACGTCAATTTGAGTCCCGAGGAGGAGGAGAGGAGGAAAATCAGGAGGGAGCGCAACAAGGCGGCGGCGGCGCGGTGTAGAAAGAGGCGCGTCGATCACACGAACCAGCTCATTATGGTGAGTACAGGCTCCTCTAGTCAAAATTTGCTCAACTACTGTCAAAGTTAAAATCTATCAAAAAATGCTAGACTGAATTAAAAGAAAATACACTATGAGTATGAGTATAAGAGACGTATAACCAGCCCCATTTCATCATCACTCCCGGACCCCGTACAGGACTATGATTACTTACGCCGATTTTTGTTCGCCCCCAGCAACTGCACGGCTTTACCCGTGTTTGCTGGGTGCGAATGTCCATTGCGTTCCGTACTGTCCCCTATTTGGGTCTCGAGAGCGACATGCGAATGGTTTTAATAGCCATTCTCGGGTTCGCCGAGCCGATACTATAGGGTGTTTGTTTTTGGGGGACAATTACGCCGACTTAAAACTAAGTACAACGCGGAATCCCCCTAGACCAGTCGATTAGTATTACTCCAAACATTTGGGATTACTATTTGGAGTTGGGGAGTTGTTATTACGCTGCAGGGGTGTAGTTTCCTAGTCGAGGTCTTCGTCTTGTTCGTTATTGTCATTGTCCGTGTCCTGGTCAGATAGTTCCTGCACTTTGTAAAATGTGTTGTTTTTTTTTATTTTGATTTATTTTATTGTTGCTTAGTTGCTCCCAACTGGTCTTGTTAATTTGTGAGAAGTGCATGTTTTGTGCTCACGTATTTTTTTTACTTTTAGTGTCTAATGTGTTTACATAATCCATGGAGTTTGATTAGAGTGCTTTTTTTATTTCTTTGTTTTATTAATTTATGAGTGTTATTTATGTTCTAAGTGTCAAATATTTATTTGGTCTCGATTTTGTTAGTCTTGGATTGTTTTGTTGACAGCTTTATTATGGCCCCGATAGGCTGGTTGGGAAGATTGTTACCGATATTTATTGTTTTTTGTAGGGATTAGGCAATGTGCCTTGTCTAGTTTAATTTGCAAATTATGTGTTAGGTCATGCAGATGAGTTGAGAATACTTATCAATTTTTTGCAGGTGGCCTATTCCTCCCTTGTTTGACCTCTTTTGTTTGGCCAGTGAAAATCGTCCTGCGACCGCTCAGACGCTGACACTTGTCACTTAACTCATTCTTGTCACTTAACACTTAACTCTTTTGACCGTTTCACTATATTGTTTGCACTTGTCACTTCACTCTTCGTTATCACTTGGCACTTAACACATTCTTGACCGTAGAGTAGTCTGTACTCACTGTAATTGTTACACTATAATTGTTTGCACTATGAGGGATTATTTGTTGGTTATGATTTTCACGTTTTACGTTTTAAACTCTGACTTAGCTAACAAGCGACCTACCCAGTCAAGAGCTGGGACGAGACTGATTTTAAAAAAATTACACTAGTTTACAAAATCGAAAAAAAATTCTGACCACCATATCCCATTGTAATTTTTCCATGTATTTTGACCCACTAAACACGAAAACCAGACTCAATTTTTTTTTAAGGAAGCGCTTTTGAAATATGAATTTTCAATGGTTTTTTTTCAATTTTGTGTTTTGACGTTTTTGAGTATAGCTTGAAATCTTATAGATCGATTTGGTCAAACAAGCCCTTAAATTTATGTATAATTTAAGCCCTCTAAAACTTTCTTTTACATACTTTTGATATCGGAAAAGTATTTTGACGCTATCGATTTTAATAACTTTAAAAATTCGTTTTTATGGCAAAAATTGAGGTCAAAAATTTACATATCGTCCTGGAAAGGGTTTATATCAAACAGATAACTCCGGTTTGAATTTTTTTTCGTGAAGCTGACATTTTTACAAAAAGAACAAGCTAATGTTGATTAAAATACATGAAAAAATGGCGAAGTTATGAATTTTTTAGTGAAGACCAAAATTCAGCTTTTTTATTTTGTTCTTTTATTTTGTAATATGTTTATTCTTTAATAAAAACCTAAGGAAAGTGCATGATTGGAATTTTTTGAGTTTTTTACGTAGTTTTTTCACCGAAAACATTATTCAAAATTTAAACTCCGCAAACGTGAATTCTTTTGTTTCTCGGGTTGGCATAGTGACATTTCAATGCATTTCAACAAGGTATATTTACCATGGTTTTATTTAGTTAATAAAAAGTGTAAAATGAGTAAAATAAGTAGAGAGTTCGAGTGCGTAAATAACCCGGACAATCTGGGCGACGTAAGTGATGAGCACGGAGAACGTTTTCACCAGCAAATGAAGGCTATGGAGCGGCGGTATCACGGTTTCTGGGATGCAGCCATGATGGGTAATTACATTTGGTTCCCCATCAGTGTTGCCGGATGTCTTTCATGAAAATCCCCGGTTAAAAATTACAAAATACCCGATTTTACCCGCAAGAGTAAAAAAATACTTACCTTATATTTAAAAATTCAATTCAATTTTCTTTATTTTAATTTTTTAAGAATATATGTTTTTATAAAAGGATTAAACACAATTTCCTAATCAAGTTTAAAAAATTAAGAGTTTAAATTTATTAATATTAACAAAGTTATGATGATTTAAAGTTTGGGTTTTCTGACAGGAACTGCTAAAAAATACATCTGTCAACCATGTTAACTTAAAATGGCTGTAGATGATTTGTTTCCATAACAATCGTTTTAGATGTCTCTTAAATGGGCTTGAAACGTACAAGCGTTGCCAAATTTTTTAAACTTAAATGCTTAATAACTCGAAAACTACTGGTCAGATTTTTTGTTGCCATTTTTTATGCTTAAAATAACCTCCTCTACAGCATGGTAAGGAGTAGGTGCGCCATTTCAGGGATACCCTGTTTATGAATATATATTTTCTTAATAAAATAAAATTATTAAAAAATATATTCTTCAGCTCTGTTTGCAAAAATAAATAAATTAAATATTTTGACCGAAATTTGGTAAATACCCGCTTTTACCCGCTTAAATATTTTACCCGCAAGCATGACAAAAATACCCGATTTTCGGGTAAAATACCCGCAAACGGCAACATTGTTCCCCATACGAGAAACGAAATACGAAAGCAACAAAAAACAAAGAAGGAGCCAGAATTTTTTTAAACCTATGCTTATTAAAACAAAATAAAACTTTCAATATTTAATGTTTAAAATAAAATTCAATGTTTAATATTAAAATAAAAATGAAGGAAAAACCTAAAAATTTCGAAAAACTGAAAAATTCATAACTTCGCCATTTATCCATGGATTTTTATCAACAGCAGCTTATTTTTTTCCTTTAAGTATAATAAACGTAAAATAAATTAAACTGGACTTATCTTTTCGATTTCTATCTTTCCCAAAAAGATTTTCGACCTCGATTTTTGTAAAAAAAGGACCTTTTCAACTTTATAAAATCGCCAGTATCGAACTACTGAGCCGATACCAAAACTATACAAAAGAAAGTTGTAGAGCGCTCAATTACCTTTGATTTAAGTGCTTCTTTGGTCAAATCGATCAATTAGAACTTGAAGTATACTCTAAAACGTCAAAACATCAGAAAATTGAAAAAAAAAAAACAATTGAAAATCCATATCTCGAAAACGCTTCCATGAAAAAAATTTTAAGTGTGATTTTCGCGTTTAGTGAGCAAAACTACACAAGAAAATCATAGTGAGACATGGTGGGCAAAATGGCTGTAAACTAGTGGTATTAATTAATATCAATAATTTTTACTTGGATCTACTTTTGAGGAGTACAAACCTGAGAAATTAACTTTTTTATAAAAAAAAAATATATTTTTTTTGAATTATTATGATTTTAGTTACATGTACCTATTTTAAATTAATTTGCTTGACAACAATAAAATATACTACAATTTTTAGTCGCATTTATATAATATAATTTTTTATAATCAAATTTCCTCCTATTTTGATATTGGGCTTAAAATGATTGGTTGACCTCGTAGAAACATAAACTAAAAAAAATTCTAGTGTTGGATACACCCTTTAGCAGGTTTGGCTGCCCAGTGGTTAACCCAAAAAAACCCACCTAAAATAGCCCGCAGGGTTTTTTAAAAGTTGGATTTTTTCTTAAACTTGAACTGAAGGATTTTGTTAAAAAAATCGCTAAAATGAATTCTTAAAAATGTACTCTTAAAAACTCCTTGTATTTTGTACTAATATGGCGTTATTTTCTCCAAAAATACAGTTTATCAAGATTTACACTTTTAAACAAATCCGATTAAAATCGCACAATAAATAAAGATTTTACAGGGGTGAGTCGCAAACAAATGGGTCACACTGTAGATTACGTCTTCGTCAAAATATAAATCCAGCTTAAAGGTAAATTCCTCTTGAAATTTAAGACTTATTTTCCTTTACCATTTTTTCGAATTCGCAAAATTTGGTAATCCAGATTACAAATCGATAATACTGGCAGACTACCAGTGGTAGTTAAAGTTAAATAAATAACTTCTGCAGTTTTGTGAATTCAAAAGGAACTTACCTTCACCCTTTGGGCCACCAATTTTTAAACACTGTTTTAAATATTTTTCCGGTAATGCATTAATGTTTATTTCTTTATTTACTTGTAAAATAAAATTGACATATTCAAAGACAATTCTAATCTTCTATTCTTTTGTTATAGGAAACCGAGGATCTCGAACGCAAACGCCAGAACATCCAGGACGAGATCCAGCGCCTCAAGGAGCAACAAGACGAATTAATGTTCATCCTCACGCAACACAAACAATCCGGAAAATGCCGAAAACGCCACCACAACAACCAACAACAACACCAACAACAGCAGGACGTTAAACCGTTCCAGAACATCTACGCTCAGCAGCAGCAACAACAGCAGCAGCAGCAGCAGCAGCAAATGTATCAGGATATCGAGGAGCGCGTCAAAACCGAACCAATGGAAGCGCTGAACACGCCCACGGCCGACATGTTTTTGCTACCGTCAGCGAAGAAGCCCATGCTTTCCGCGCCCATCTCTAGACCCTCCCGCCCCAACTCGCTTAACGTCGGAGTGACAGCGCCGCAATGCATGACGGATATCATGGGCATTCCCATCTCTACGCCCTCTAGCGGCTTGCATTTCAACTTCGACTCGCTGATGGGAGGTGGTACTGGTTTGACTCCGGTTTCGGCGCCGCTGGCGCCCTCTTGCAGCACTCAGCAGAGAAATATTCCGATTAGTAGTGCCGATATGATTTCGCCGGATGCCTGTAATCCCCCCAAGTTGGTTAGCTTATAAGATTTACATTTGTGGCCGGTGGGCCTCTAGAAATCTCCTCTGTAATCTCATTTTCATTATTATTATTATTATTACCCGACAGTATTTACAAATTAAAGAACAAATTTGTTGTGGCGAGGTTTTCTAGGGGTTTCGCTGGCCGCGTTTCATGAAGCAATACAATCAAGTCATACAAAACGAAATTTTGGTACTGTTCACCATGTTTAGTAGTTGAAGCCAAAAATGTTTAATATTTTTTGTTTTTACTAGTTCAACTAGTGATATTTATGTGTCATTTAGTTTTATTATTTATTTTGTTATAGTTTATTGTATTATTGTAAATAATTATATGCCATTTGATGATGGAAATTTATTACCCCAAACGTGCTAAACATGGATCTTAATGATAAAATAATTATTAAACAAGAAGTAAAGTGCTCAATTTGCTATGCTATATTTTGCTACCAAGAAATGCCTTTATTGACGACGAGAAATGATATAGAAAAGAATAAACAAATAAAAATATTTTCACTTAAGCAAAAATATTCCCTCCAAAAGTTTTTTATATAGTAGATGATAAGGATTAACATTATTATATTTTTGTAAGTGGAGTGCTCCTTTACAAAAAAGCGATTTGTGTTATTATTGATAGGTATATTATTAATATATTATATTGAACGATATGGAAAGATACTTTTCTACGAGTATGTTTATAGCAATATATGGATTACATTTTTTGTAATCAGTCAATTTTATATTGTAGTTTTGTCAGATTTTTGTATTTATTTTATGCAATGCTAATTTAAGAAATAAATCGATTTATCTTTTGAACAAAAACAGTAATTTTATTTTCATTCCTAAAACAATTTAAAAGGTAAGTAACAAGTTTTTACTACGCGTGAACGGAAAATCTAAAATCCTTAGGATTAGGTTTTGATAAAGGAACATCATTCTTTTCATCCTCACGCCTGTACATAAGGAGTATACCACCACAACTTACAATTATTAAAACTGCTCCCAGAATTGTCAAAATCTAGAAATAGTTAAGTTTAACTATGAATAATATTTTTTTATTTTAGGTACCTACCTACCTCTCTAAAAATAATAAATATATTGAATGTAGTATGATACCATATCAATGTCTAACAATTTAAAGTTTTAATTGCATAATTTAAATGCAACCACAATGAATGCAACACAGATTAGTACTTTTAGAGAGTTATAATTAAAAATATTACCCTAAAGGGGGTTTCTACCTTCTTGGATATTTTTTTTTAGGGTTTTCCAAAATATTTAATTTTTTGAAATTGTTACAGACCAAAAACATAGGTGCGGTTTGTACATAATAAGATGCTGTTCAAAAGTACTTGCAATAATTTTAATACAACCTATATTTTCCACCTAGGTGTGCTTGTCATTATTTTATTTTATTGCCTTTTACAGCAAAGCGGTTAAAGTTACAGGTAAAAAGTTTAATTTTCAATAAAAAAGATTCTATTAAAATAGATGGAGCATTTAATAAATTACTTTATATAATAGTTTACTGTAAAATTTATTAATAGAAAAACCATTGGACTAATTAGTTTGGCAGTAACATTTATTAAAAAGTGTCATTTTGACGACTTTGATTTGTACAACATTTTCAGGGTATACTAACATAAATAGGGTCTTTCACAGCATATTTTTAATTTACTTTCCCTATAAAAGTACATTTATTAAAAAATGCTTTATATCTTTTAAACTAATCTATGACTTTTTTTGTAGGAAATTGATTTTTTTGTTTTGTTTACTGTTTATAAATAAATTTATCAATATATTGATAAAAGATATAGAGAATTTATTAAATTCTCTATATCTTTTATACAATGCATTTTATTGCATTAATTCATAAGACCTTTTTTGTAAAAAATTGAATTTTCTATAAAAAGTTTTTGTTACTATTTACCTGTAACTTTAACCGTTTTGCCGTTAAACAACATAGGACTAATGAGTTTATAAATATAGGACAATAAAATTTGTTAAATGCTGTATATCTTTTACATTAGGTATAAATTTTATTGCATTAATCTGAAGAAACTTTTTTAACCGATTGCTGTAATATGTAATATGCCTAATTGTGGCAAGTACTTTGAAAGGGTATCCAATCATGTACAAATCGTAATATGTCGCCAAACTATTGGTATTTCGTATGTTATTTAAATGGTAAAACTTTAAAGTCAAAATAAAATTACTTTAAGAGCATTTTTTTCTAGATATGTACATTAATATTTTAATGGGGAGACAAAAAATAAATGTTTCTTAAAAACCACCCCAATATACTTTAATTTCTTTTCCTGATCAGGCAGCATGGATCATCCAAAAGCTTTCCCACCCTTTTCAATGTTAGAACAATAAAAAAAATTTACCAAAGTGTTCTGAAAGTTGCCTTGTTTTTCGACCCAACAAAGTAGAAACCCTCATTAATGAAAAAAATGATTATTTTGTACTTACTGGATAGACTTTATTAACAGATTCTTGTGAAGAACAGTCAAATTTACTCATAATTGAACCAACTATACTTAAAATAGAAAATAAAAGATTCAAAATAACATCCTAAAAAATCAACTTAAAATAAAATAAACGAAATATTGTGTTTTCTTACTATTTTGATCCATAATATGGGATTTTTAACAGTTAACCCAAATGAAAATATCAAATATAAAACTAGTTGACAAAGAACACATAATCCTGTTGATACTGGAAATAAATAAGGATACCAATTTGATGTACCAGGGCAAATTTCAAATGCGAAAAACATTGCCAATGCTGTCAAAAGAAAAAGCTAAAAAAGTAGATTTAAAAAAATACTTTAAGTAGGTACTTAAGTAGGTTACACGTTTGGGGGAGGGGGATCAGGATCGTGCGTTGTCACACCAAAAAAAAAATAATTCACTTTGTTGTGGTCAAAGAGTTAGGGACCTAGTTATTATTTGCTATAAAGCAGATACTAGAAAATGTGCGGTAGATACAGTACCGATTCATAAAATTAATAAGATTTATAAAAAAACAGAAATAAAAATGTGACGTGTGACCTTGGGGGGTCTAAAATTTGTGACGGCCCCTTGAAGTATTACTTAAGTCTTCATACTATTTAGTAAGGTACTTACCATACCAAAAGATTTAATAAAACCTGTTTTTGTTACAGGAAATTTTCCACAAACTAATTTAGCTTTTAGTATATCACTATAAGATTCTCTTTTGTGTAAAACTGCGGCAAGAATTCTTTGAGTGTGTCTTCGAAAATTTAATTTTTGCTCAATTTTAAATATTATTTTTAACTTAACTCAAATAGTAATTATTGTCAATAATTTTTGTTCATATCACCAAAATATAAGATTGTAATGCACCTTTAATTATCATGATATGAATTTATCAATTGAAACCTTTTTATAATTTTTATAGGAATGTGATAACTTATTTATTAATAATAATAATTATATACAGGGTAATATTTACATTTTAAAATAATTCATATCTTTTTATAAATTTAAAATTTCTTTGGCTCGAATAGCTTGTTTGTAAACTTTATGCTTTTCTTGCACTTCCTTGAAGTGCTCCAATAGGGTTTTGAAATCTATTAAGTTTTTAAGAGATTGTTTTTTGGCATGGGGAGTAGTACTACAATAAAAAATATTTTTAAATATATTTATATTAATTGCATTTTGATTTCTTACCTTTCTTCTGTGGTCAGATGTAAACTTGGAATGCAACTTAATCTTATTTTTAAGGTATTAAATGCTTCAGTTTGAGGTAGAAGCATAAGCAGTCCATATAAGGCTCTTACAAGGTTTTTATCACAAGGTACTTCAAGTAATTCTAATCTTAAATCTAAAAAATGTGTATAAGTTATTTTGTACTTTGTACTTGCAAGTACAACATTTTGTGTACTTTTTACTTGAATGCATTTTGTACTTGAACTTTTACTTAAGTAATATTTTCTTGTATTAGGAAAAGTATGATTTTGGTACTTTTTTAGGATTATTTATTTAGCGAATTTAATATACTTACAAGCAAATATTGGCGATTCGATTAACTGGACCAGCTTGTCTATCTCCATTAAAAAATCCACTGTAATCTCGAGATTACCGCTAAAAATATATGTTAAAGAAAATATTTTAAAATTAACCAAGATCAGTGCTGGATTAACCTATAGGCCAACCTAGGCCTAGGGCGCCGCGAAGCCAATTATAGGCGCCAAGGCAGAAGGCTCAATTTTTTTGAAGTAGGTTGAATATTAAAATTAATCAATTAAAATAAATAATTATAATTATTAAATGTGTAATACCCTTTTTTATTTTAAAAGCAAATTCGGAAATAATAACGTCGTTGATAATGCAAAAGGTCGTGTCACGCCTTTCTGCAGAAGAGAAATACCTAACCCACAAAAATAAAAAAATATATATTATATGGGTTTATTATCTCGATTTTTTTTTTGGGCAAATATTTTTTTTAAATTTACAAGTTGCTTGAGAAGGCGCGACGCGTGTGGGAAGGCTCTTAAAACGTAAAAGTTTAAAGATTGAAACCAACAATAATTTTTAAAAAGTGCAAACTAATAAAGTGAAACAAACAATTTTCATAGAGTGCAAGCTAGAGTGGTGTAGCGGTCATTGAGGAGTGAAGTGTTTTGAATGAGTTAAGTGCCACCTGTCATTGGACGCTTTTCACTGGACAGACAAAGGAGGTCAAACAAGAGGGGAGGTGGCCATCCGCAAAAAAAATGATAAGTTACCTTAAGAATACGCATGACCTAATACAAAATCTGCAATTTAAATACGGCAGATATCTTTAAAACATATGAAAGGCACACGGAGTAGGGCAATAAATCTGTCAACAACAAGTGCGTAATGCAATCCCAAACGAAACCGAAAATAAACACTAGACTCACAGATTTGTAATCATTAGATAACAGAATAATTGCGCTTGTCATTTGTTTAACTAATAAATAAATGCAATACTTAATTTTGGAATTTAAGAAAAAAAGACAAAACTCTACCACAAAACGTGCTTGGGACAAATTTATTAAAAACAACTGACACACTTTACCAAGTGCAGGAACTATCTGACCAGGACACGGACAATGACAATAACGAACAAGACAAAGCCCTCGACTAGGAAACTACACCCCTGCAGCGAAATAACAACTCCCCAACTCCAAATAGTAATCCCAAATGTTTGGAGTAATACTAATCGACTGGTCTAGGGGGATTCCGCGTCGTACTTAGTTTTAAGTCGGCGTAATTGTCCCCCAAAAATCAACACCCTCCCGTCCCTCCTCCTATACCCCACTGAGCGTATAGCATAGGCTCGGCGAACCCGAGAATGGCTATTAAAACTATTCGCCTCTCGCTCTCGAGCCCCAAATAGGGGACAGTACGGAACGCAATGGACATTCGCACCCAACAAACACGGGTGAAGCCGTGCAGTTGCTGGGGAAGAACAAAAATCGGCGTAAGTAAACATAGGCCTGTACGGGGTTCGAGAGTCAAGAGGGCTGGTTATACGTCTCTTATACTCATACTCATACTCAAATAGTATTTTTTTAATTTATTTTATTGTAACTTTTTTTATAAAACCCTACTTGTCCCCCTATGTGCACCCCTGTCGGCTAACATGTATTGTGTTATATTAATACCATAGGTACTAATATGAATTATAGGCGCCGTTATTATTGGCCTAGGGCGACAAATTGTCTTAATCCGGGCCTGACCAAGATTTTTGTTTATAGGGTGATTTCTATTTTTTCTACTACTATTGCATATTATTTGGGTTTTTTCGTAAATAATGGTAACCAATATAACTGCCCTGCCTAACAACGTGAATAATGAACTCAATATTCACGTTGTTAGGCATCAGTGATTTTCTGATTTCAATATTCACTGTTATTTAAACCAATCGGGTTTTAAATTGGAAAAAGTAAGGTTAACAGATGTCACATTTTTTAAATATACAAGGGGCGACTATAATAATCTTTAAAATCGGGAGAAAGTGAGGTTATAATACATTTTGTTATTAATGAAAATAACTTAATTGGAGTAGAAAAAGCATAGTATTACACTCAAAATAATGCGCCTTATTCACTCGCATGATTTACGTCTCTCGCCTGACGGCTCGAGACGCAGACCTCATCCTCATCCCGAAAAATAACCAGCATTATCTCTAGTATAATAATATACTATTTTACATACTTTTTTTAATATCCAAGATTTTAACTCTCATGTATATTAATTTGTAATTTTTCGTTTTAATTTAATTAATAAGATTACATATAATTCAAGCAATAATTGAAGCATATAACAAATTTCATATTTTATAACTCATGAGCCTATATAGAGCAGTGGCGGCCCGTGACATTTCATTTTGGTGAGGCAGAGGCAGGGTTTCGTCCTCATTTAAAGGCAAATACATATTTTTAAACCCAACTTAAAAAAACTGAAGTCGCAGTGCACAACCTATACTTAAAACTAAGTAAAAAACTTAGACTGGGGTGGGGAAGGAATCCTCTACTTTGTCAATGAAATATATTTTATTGTAAAAATGACGTTTATTTTAAATAAACCTTATTTTTGTCTAATTAATATTTCATTGTTTAGCAAGAACCACGTGAAGGTCAACAATATCGGTACAATTTCTCACCGTAATATTCATAATGACTAAATTCACATAAATCACCAAGTTCAATTAACTAAACCCACAGAATAAACCACTTACAAAAGAATCATAAAATAGACAAACTCATAGAAAAAGAATAAACAAAATATTGCGTAAATAACCACAGATTTGTTCTTTAAACAGTTCAGAATTTTATAACCAAAACAAACCTAAAGAAGGAATCTGTATTTATTTTATTGGTTACTGTGATGGCTAGAAGATGGCGATAGTGTTAAAATATGTTTATTTTAGAATAGAAATATAATTTCAAATAAATCGATTTATTACACTGTGCGACAAATTTTGACCTTACAATTTGAACTGGGATGAAATGTGGAAAAATCGAATCTATGCAACCCCCAAAACTAATCTTTAAAGGGGTTTTGTTAGTTTAGCTCGAATAATGGAGATATACAGGGTGTTTCTTTTAACTTGAGACAGCTCAATATCTCGAGAAATACGCATTTCACGGAAAAATGTCTTAAATAAAAGGTTAATGTGACCAAAGGAGACATTATTTGGTGCTACCGCTAGCCACCCCCTACCCCTCCTTAAGGGTGAAACGGGGGGTAACTTTGGAAAGTCAAATGGAATGACCCGATTTTTTTCACAGAGTTTGGTAGTACATAAAAAAATGAATAACTTTTATTTGAAAGTTTTTTTCAATTTATCAACAGATGGCGCTGTAATTCAAAATTTAAGAAATTACCCGCATTCAAAAATGTGTTGAAATGGAATGACGACATTTCGAACATTTGTTATAAATTGTTTTCATAGCCGACTATTGTTGTTAATGTTAATTTTTGTTTTTCAAACGTTTCAAATAATACATTTTACAAGGAAACTCATTTTTCTTAAATTTTGAATTACAGCGCCATCTGTTGATAAATTAAAAAAAGTTTTAAATAAAAGTTATTTATTTTTTTATGTACTACCAAACTCTGTAAAAAAAATCGGGTCATTCCATTTGACTTTCCAAAGTTACCCCCCGTTTCACCCTTAAGGAGGGGTAGGGGGTGGCTAGCGGTAGCACCAAAAAATGTCCCCTTTAGTCACATTAACCTTTTATTAAAGACATTTTTCCGTGAAATGCGTATTTCTCGAGATATTGAGCTGTCTTAAGTTAAAAGAAAGACCCTGTACATATATATATGTATATCTCCATTATTCGAACTAAACTGGTAAAACCGCTTAAAGGATTTGTTTTGGGGGTTGCCTAGTTTCGATTTTTTCAGATTTGATCCCAGTTCATTTTTTGTGTTGCACAGTGTTATAAGAAAAATAATACCATTTTGAAAAACGTGTGAAGTATAATTTATCTAAAATTCCGCAACAGTGTTGCCACAACACCTGCTTATTTCCTTGGATGTAGGCGTGCCTGCCTCGCGTATGCTAATACGAGAGAAGGAGAAAACTATGATATCGCATTGTAATAGAACAAGACAACAAGGCTAATGCCAATCGTGAGTCTAAATTAGTTCAGCCAATCATCTAGCTATAAATATTAGTTTAAATTGCGGTCGTTTCAAATTCAAATATTTTAAATGATGCTGGGTATTCCACATATAAAATCAATCAATTTTATTGACTATTTCACAATTCATGTAATCCAAATATTAAAAATTTATAGTATATTATAGAAAGTAAAATATTTAAATTATACTTAATTTTTTAATTCTCTATGATGAGGCACTTTCTCACCTGCCTCCCCTGACGGGCCGCCACTGATATAGAGACATACATATTTGTGCGCAGTTCATTATTATACACTGCAGTACAATTATGAAAATACATTGAAATAACATCACATAGTCCTACACATATACAAATCATTTTTAACTGAAAAACGAGATTTTGAATGGTAATTCATAATTTAAAAAAACCTAAAAACTATAAGCCAACATTTTTAATTAAAAAAAGGATACAACAATTTGATGAGCTCGCAGACATGTTCATAATTCTGACTTAACAGACACAACGATACTGTTGCTATAGGATTATGACACCATGTTGAATATAAACAACAGAAAAGGCTCTTACTCTCCTAAAAATACAAAACAGCTAAAAATACACAAAACTAAACCTAACAAAATTACTCACCTCTGTCTTTAATTCTTTCAACTTATTTCTCATCTCAAACAATTCCGATGATGTCAATAAAATCATGTTTAAATGCTCCACCATGAGTCGCACAAACTTTAAGTTTGGTTCTTTTAATAAAATACTGGCAAGAGATTTGTATATTTCTTCTGCATTTAAAAGTACACATAGTTGCCTACAACAAACAGTCTTTGGTAACATTCTTAAATAATAGTGGACCCTGTTTAGACCCTTGGAGAACTCCCAACATTTTTAGTGCTGAAAATGTTATTTATTTGATTTATTAATCATTTTTTCAGTTACATCAGAAGATCTGAAAATATTGAAAACTTTTAAAATTAGGTCTAGATTTTAAACGTTTTGGAAACCTAGTTTAGGAAAAGTTTAATTTTTTCTTTAATTTATCAGACAATTTTTTAATTTCTACTCCTGTGAGAATTTTTCCCACATTTTATAATTTTGAATCACTGTGCGAATTTATAATAATCCTAAATCATATCGGGCCCGATGGGGACCCTTGTGGAACTTCCACTTAATAAAATCAACATTTACCTTATTATAAACGATCCTCTCTCATCCAACAATCTTTTGTCGTTGTTAAAAGATTGTAGTAGGCTTATGACGAACTTGTTGTAGTACGTGCTTGTTTTGTCGGTCGAATTTGTTTTTCCATCGCCAATCGGTGACGAGATCACTTCGGCTATGACCACTAGACATTGTTGCACGACTTGATCGGCTTCGTCCGCCAGCGTTCGTTGAAGAGCGGGGAAAAGAAGATCGATGTGATTAACCATCTAAAAGTTTATTGTTTTTAGTGGGTTTTCAGTTGGTAGTCCGGCTGTTAAAAAAAGTATGGTGAAATGTCATTATTGGATGACCATTTAAAGGAATTTTTAACAAATAATCTTATAGGATTGTTGTAACCTATGGGAAAATCTATATTTAAATTACATTTTAAATGGGAAAATACTTTTTAAGACAGCCTGATTATTTTGAGGTCTTTTTCTTGTTACTTGAGATGGGAATTTCATGTAGAGATCGTGTATCCACTTTAAGACAGCCACTTTGGTTTGTATGGAGCTATGCATTAAGTATTGAGTGAGGACATCTACTACTGGAGGTAGGTCCAGTTTCTCTTGAGATGGTTCCACTAAAAAAAATTAAAAATGTCATACTAAACTAGGTTTTTAAAGTGTCAAAAAAAACCGAAAAGTGGGGGTAAAAAAACAGTTTTTTTCGTTTTTTCCCAGGCCTTGTAAAAATTGGAAAATATACACATTTTAATCAAAGTACCAAACAACATCTTAACAATATTTTAATTTTAAAAAAATATTCTATATTACAAAAAAAACTAAATTGAATTGAATTGAAATAAATTGATTTAAGAAAATAAAAGTAAACCTTAAATATACTGTCGGTTGTTTTTTTGCAAAAAGAAGTCCATGTAAAATATCCAATAACAAAATAATGAATTAAAGTAAATTACAAAATTATAATTTTATAAATCGAAGTGTCAAATAAAAAAAAAGTAATGTTAATACAGAACTGAAGAACATAATTATTTCTACTATTTTAATTAAAATAATAGGAATAATTATTATAGTTGTCATATTATATGATTATAATCAGCGTCGGGAATTCACACGGATATTCTCCGTAAAAAATTGTATATTTTTAGAAAAATTTACTGTTGCCAAAAAAACCGCGCCGGCTCAATTTTTCCACATACTTCATTATTGAATGAAGAAAACACATTTTTCAAAAGAATAAATAATTTTTTTATTAGTATTAATAAAGTAGGTAGGTACATCTACAAAATTGTTATAATTTAAATTAGACAAGCTATTAGTATTTTATTTCAATGAAAATTTAATAAATCATTGGTGAGGAAAATATAAAAATATTGTGGGGAATATTTGGTAGTCAATTGTGGAAATTGGTCGAGAATTTTTGCTGGTCATGGTCATGGTCATTAGGTATTGGTTGTGTGGCAGTTGATTTCTTCTTTTGCAGTAAAATATTAGTTATCTGTAGTCTTAAACTATTGACAATAAATTATTGTAAGTAGTGTATACGTAGTATTTATTAGTGTCACTTACAGTACTTAAATTATTATAAGGAAAAAAATAACATAAATGACCACATTTGGGACAACCCTTTTAAAAAATTTAAATAGATGCAAATTTAAAAAAAATATTTTTTTCTACCCCCATCTTTAAAACGCCCATCATCGTACAGGTTTCCATGACACTATAAGCATTGAGTAAAGAATGCTATAAGTGACCTTTTAACTTTTTGCTCGGGCGTATCGGCCCAATGACGCCCCCAATAAATATAATATAAATTTAATTGGTGCAATTGATTATTTACCTTAGTTTATCGACAAATTTCATATTTTATTTAAAAAATCTAAATCATACAGATTTTATATAATTTTAAATTTTTATTATTTTTTTTAAAGAAATATAAAAAATTTAAAATGGTATAAAATGTGTATAATTTGGATTTTTTAAATGAAATTTAAAATTTGTCGATAAACTATGGTAAATAATAAATTTCACCAATTAAATTTATATTATATTTATTGGGGGCGACATGCATGTCGCCCCATGGGGCCGGTACGGCCGAGCAAACTTCAATTTAAATTCTGCTTGCGCGGAACTTGTTTATTTAATGTCATTATAAACTCATATAAATTTGGTGTGGGTCCCATATGTAATAATTGAGATATCGGTTTACCCAAAATCCACCAGCCGCCACTGGGTTCAAACCCCGACCCCCATTGCCTACGCCTGCTGTTCTGTAAAGTTTGTTTGCCAAACACAACACTGGGGCTTCAAACCATGTTTAAGGCATGGAATAGTGAAAATTTCAAAAAAGAAAACACAACCAAAAAATACAGGAGAAAAACCTTACCTGAAGATTTTCTAATTTCATCGGCATCCTCCAGTTCCTGTTGCAGCGCAATCAACTTCAACAATGTATAATTCACCGCTGTTGCCGTCTCCTTTATGTCTGTCACTGTATTAAGGAAAGAAAACATCGTGTCAAAAGCATGCAAAACTAACAATAAAAAGATATATCGCGAAAAATACCAAACAAATAAACATTTACATTTTTGTTATCGCTCATAATTTACGCGGTTTTAATTCTAACGCTATCGCTTTACGTATCGATTTACGAATAAATGGTTTATTCTACTAACAACTACTTTCTAAAGAAAAAAAGGGAAACTAAAATTTTATGATAAAATCAAGTTGACGTTTAATACGGTATAATACCGTGGTCAAAACAAAAACAATTGTCAACTGTCAAAATTGACAATTTAAAACAAACTAACTAAAGAAATTGTTGACTATTGTAATGTTTTAGAGGGGTATGTTTAAGTTTAAAAAATATATAAAGAAGGATACTTCGCCTGGCGTCAGTGTCGTAGGCAAGACACGGTAAAATTGCGGTGAAAATTCCCGACATATATGGCAACATGGCTGGTCCTGACAGCTGCACAAACTCCTTGATCCAAGTTATCGCAGTAAACTGTGGGAAAAAAACTTATTAAGTCCTTGAATTCTTTTAAAATAAAAGGGATTTGACAGGTGTGTTATGTCATTGTAGATGAAATATAAAAGTGAGGATAATCTATTTACCTGTACTAAGTCGCTTTTTTCCTGCGCATGCTTGTTCAGGATGTTAATCATTTCGGAAAATTTAACCCTTGACGGGTCACTTTTGATGCCTCTCAAAAATTCGCCCAAAGTGGTTTCGCACATTTTTTTGACTTCGAGGTTTGGATCGTCGAGGATTATAAATAATCCGTCGAGAATGTCGGGTAAATAAACAATTAAATCCAAATCAGGTTCAGTGTTTAATACCGAAATCCATGAAATTACAAATTGTCTTGCAAATGAGCTTCTTGTGTATATTCTTTCGCGTAGTAGAGGTATGAAACCTTCTAGATCAAAGTTGCTTTCAACAACAATGTCCTTAAATATAAAATATTATAAAAACACTTATATTACATAAAACACTAAATAACGTTTCTGTTTAAAATCCTCCAAATAAAAAATTAGTGGTTATCTCATATTTTACAATTTATTATTTTTCCTTTAAAATATACAGTATATGCTTTAAAATAAAAATATAAATTATAATATAACAATAACGATTTAATTTATTATTATTATAAAAAATATATTATGATTTAGATAAAATACGCCCTTATATGTGATAGTTGGGCCGTTATGGGCCTACCATTACGTTTCTTTTGTTAAAAAATCAAAATTTTTAAAAGGTAAACAAAAGAATTTAAAAAACAATATCCAAGGAATTTTAAAATTCATAAAAGTATTACAATATATATTGTTGTACTTATTTTTGTATAATATATTATATTTGTTATTATAAATCATACAAAACACATAATCAAAAAACAAAATGACGTTTGTTCAAAATATATTATTACAACAAAATGATCTTTTAGTAAAGGGTCGTAAAGTATGTTGCAGGATGTCACAAAGTCTTGACCCGCCTCCCTTAATTAAAAATATATCTAAGGGTGAAACTTGGATTTATTAAAAATTTATTTGACGTTTGAATTGTCATTTACAGTAATGTAGTATATATATAGTATAGAATATATATACAAAAATTATATATAATTTTTGTTCAGTTTTTTATAAACTAAAATAAAAAATTTTAAGTTATGAAGAAATTCATGAAAATAATCTGCCCATTTAATAAAATAAAAATTAAATCGGCTTAAAAATATCTCCTAGGTTATTTTTAATACATTTAAAAATTTCTCCTATAATTTTTTAGGTTAGCGAATTAAAAGTATGTGTTTGGCAAAAAAATACAAATATAAGAAACATATATTTTAAATTCACTAAATTAAAAATATTAGTTTGGCATAAAAATTAAATCTAATTTTAAAATATCTGCTGAGATTATTAATTCGCAGAATATAAAATCTTATGTGATATTTTTTATCTAATTGAAAATATGACACTAGTGTTAACACATAAAAATAATTTCTGAATAAAAAATACAACAGCGCCCCATAGTTAAACCAAATATTATACGAAACATAAGAAAAATCAAAAATAAATTTCAATTTTTTTTAAGTAACAGAATTATTGTTTTTAGGGTTTATAAATATTACTGCTAAATTTAGAAATTATGTTACACCCTTTAATATTAAATTAGGAATAGATGGGGGCCAGGGATTTTTACAATTTAGTATTTCCCTGTATTGCATTAGAGTTTATAAATTGAACTGCTAAATATAGAAATTATGTAATCTTTTGTAATAAGTTTTAGGATGTTTCAGAAGCATTTAAAATGCATTTCCCTCAAATATGTCACCTTGGTAGTTAAGAATTCTTAGAGACCAAATTCAGTGTTTTAGGCTATCTCAACGATTGTTCTTTTCCCAGAAGTTTTACTAGTCCGTTCCAAAATACGCCTCACAAAGGTGATGGCTAACTAGATTTTTGTATTTACTACTTGTTGGCGATTTAATGTAAGCTAATGTAACTGATGGTAGTATTACTGCGTGAGCGTATACCTATACCTATATACTCAATTTATTTAAGGGTCCTGCTTTTTCTTAAATACATAGTTTTTTTATTAGATAAACCATTTACCTACTGTTGTCCTTTCGTTTTTTTGTGAAATATGGCTTCGGCGATTAATGTGCAAAACATCAAGTTTTTAAACATTTGTAATTCAAAAATATTATATCTACGCCAATGGTTGCGGTTGTTGAAGCATAATTTAATAGATAATTTTGTCGTCTTTAACAGTAAAGAATTATTCTTTATTTTAATTTTTTTTTTTAACCCTGGATTGCTACACTTATTTTCCAAACTTAATCTGCTACATGGGGTACTGTTGTACCCCAAATAAAAAATTAGATAATATCTTATTTTTTATTTGAGGTACAACTGTATTACATAATATGCCATATTATGGCTTTAAAAAATACATGTTTACATAACACAAAAACAATATTAAATATGGTTTTAAATATTTATTTTCTTTACAAAAATATTTTATTTTATTAATCGGCACAAGTTGGGCATATTTTCTTTTGGTGCCATTTCTTGCGTGTCCTTGAAAATTAAATTTCTTAAAAACAACAAAATTTATGAAACTATAATAATAATTTTAATAATTTTGCAGAAATGCAAAAACAAGTTTTATTTATTTATTATTTTATGCTACACTGGGGTACACCCGTACATCTTTTATCAAATATCCCTAAAATGAAAAATACACCGCAAGTTACCAATATCACACATGAACTGCCATAACATAGGATCAGTGTTGCCAATTGCTTTTGGCAAAATTACACCCAAACTCTCCAGAATTACACCACATTACACCCCAACAAAAATTAAGCTTGATATATACTGTCCGTTCAGGCTAAGTTGAGCGGTCTAAGGAATGTCACCCCGTCCATCATCTCTATGTTCAGGCAAAATTAAATACATGTACTTCGGTAGCCGCTCTGTACTAACAAACGGCAAGCCGCTGCACTGATAAATCATCTTCTTGTTACGGAAATCTCGCGACGATTCGATTTTAATTTAATCAACGGCCACATGATCTCCCACCAAAGCGCTCAACTTAGCCTGAACGGACTGTATATATATGTTATAACATTGAAAATGTTGTATGCTCGAAACCCATATTTTTTTGCAAAAATAATACGTTATCATGATTCAGGGGTGTCCAAACTATTATTTATTATTATTATTAATTTTCAATGCCCATCGTTTTTCAAATTAAAAAAATGCTTGTTTTCATATATGATCCATAGATTGCATTTCTTCTGCGTGAAAACATGAACAAAACTTTCCTTAAATAAAAATAGGTACGTTTTAAATGATCCGTCCAAAATTACACCCAAATTACACCGCATTAAAAAATGTTAGAAAATTACACCACAGTCAGTAAATTACACCCAAAAGGTGTAATTACACCGCAATTGGCAACACTGCATAGGATGAAACTACTCAGGAGGCCACGACCGCAGCTCCATCTATTTCCGATTGGCGGGATTTTTAAATAAGGCTGGGGTACAACTGTACCCCAAGTAGCATTCCAGGGTTAAGGTCTGTTTTAAAGAAATTCGCAAAGTCTTAAATAAGTCATTAAATTACAGTTGGTATTTGAATTAACTTCCAAAATTTAAAAAAAGGATCAACTACAATTTTGAAAAACATGTTTTTAAACTCTAGAGAGGGTCCTTATTCCGATAGCGCATTCAGTTTTTGGCGTCATTTTTATGTGACCTATGACTCATTCAGGACCCCTGCGCCCAAGATACTTGCGCTTATTTATCATGTGCCTAATTTTGTACAAAGGTATGAAGAAGGTAGCAGCCCATGCATGCATATTGTAACACTTTTTGGGCAAGTTACACATTTAATGTTTAACTTGCCCAAAAAGTGTAAATAGGTAAAGAGCACCCAGAATACCCAAAACGTTTAGTTAATGCAATTATGCAATACATGCATAATTGCATGTTTGATTACTAAAAGTAAGTTAGGGTAGTTTTAATTAAAATATTTAAAGGTAATACTAGTATACTAAAAATATTAAAAATAAACAATTTTTTGGGCAAAATAATAACATAAGTTTATCTAACCAATAACTTTCATGTCTTGAAAATAGTTTCTAAAAAAATTATTCGTCAGATAAACCAAAAATAAATAAGTTGGCCCTAAATAAAATAAATATGATAAAAGCTGTGGGGACTGAACCCTTAATTAAATTGTAAATATTTTAGTACCCGGAGCCATTTCTTTCAACACAGCAAAATTTCCCATCGTTTGCAAACATCCCTGGGTTTATTACTCCTTTACCTCTCCTTTACCTTACAAAAGAAATATATTCGTGTTTATAAATTAAATTCAAAATATAATAAACTTTATTGTTTTTTGGATTTTTGATTCGTTCTAAATATTGTCTACCTACTTTCTACTCTGACCAATGGTGGGGGACGAGGGAGCCTGGTGGAAGATCTAAGGGCTCTCATCGACCACTACACGCTAAGTTTGTATAAGTGTGTACATAATAAAGTTAAGTTTGTATAAATACCGAAGTTTGTATACAGGGTGTCCGGGAAAAGGAGGTCAATCCGTTAACCATATATTCCTTGAGTTAAAACAATAAGACTTTCATAATACCATTTTTCAATTTAGGGATTCATGTTCGATATACAGGGCGACAAAGTTTGAAATTAAAAACTGATTTTTTTTAATAATTCGAGTAATTGATAAGATACTAAGTTTAAATTCGGTACACTACTTCAACATAAATAGTTACATTTTTTGAGACCAACAAAACAAAAAACAATTGTCAAATAATCAAAATAGGGGGGTCCAGTACTCACTGACTCCCCCTATTTTTTAGTACGTGCGCCAATGACTTCCAAACGGAATTTTTTCAGGTAATAATTTATTGTTTAAAATGTTTTGTCTCTTATAAAATTTTGATAAAATGATTTGTTTTAGAGATAAATTGTAAAGTATGGGTCAGTCCATATCAAATTTTCAAAATTTAATTTTTTTTTGAAAAAATGTAGGTCATGTGATATGTCATAAAAAAGTTCTCTAATAGGCCTTTAAAATAAGCCATTACTCACCTTTCTACTTTTAATAGTTTACGAGATATCGCTATTTTTGTAAGTACTTGCAAGACCCAAATTTATCGGAATTTTTTGATTTTCAAAAATCAATAAAACAAAAACCACCTATCGAAAAAAATTCATATATGGGATTTTTGAGTTTTTTAGTGAGGTAAACAAATTTACCAAAAATGATCAAAATCGGAGATGGTGGGGGAAGAACCTTTGGTTGATTTGATATGGACTGACCCATACTTTACAAATTATCTCTAAAACAAATCATTTTATCAAAATTTTATAGGAGACAAATTTTTTTAACAATAAATGATTACCTGAAAAAATACCGTTTGGAAGTAATTGGCGCACGTACTAAAAAATAGGGGGAGTCAGTGAGTACTGGACCCCCCTATTTTGATTATTTGACAATTGTTTTTTGTTTTGTTGGTCTCAAAAAATGTAACTATTTATGTTGAAGTAGTGTACCGAATTTAAACTTAGTATCTTATCAATTACTCGAATTATTAAAAAAAATCAATTTTAAATTTCAAACTTTGTTGCCCTGTATATCGAACATGAAGCTCTAAATTGAAAAATGATATTATGAAAGTCTTATTGTTTTAACTCAAGGAATATATGGTTAATGGATTGACCTCCTTTTCCCGGACACCCTGTATTATCGATATATTATCGATCAATTCTACCCGCACACCCAGTCGCCAAAAAGTCTAAATTAAAAGTTCATGGCAGCCTTAGAATTATTGTTTTATAAATGTATACATTTTAACCTTAAATTAAATCTTTAAATGTGCATTGCAACAAAACAGTAAAAGATAAAATTGTATAAACCTTTTTTTAGGAAATTAATTTATCTTTATTCTGATTTAAAAAGTTATGATAATATTTAAATAAAATCACAGGTTTTAATTGGATAATTGAAAGATGCATAATATTTTTAATAAACAGCCAATTAAAAGAAAACTGTCAGGTTTTTTTATTTTGCTTTTAAATTTTTAGTTATGACCTAATTAAAAATATCAAAAAAAGTATGTTTCTCAGAGAGTCCAAAAATTATCTATCAGCAAAATAAAACGCATTTAAAATGTTATAATTTTTAAGAAAATGTTGAATTATTTTGTCTTCTATGCATTTTAACATTTTTTTTATAAAAGATTTCAAAAACTTACCTTTAATAATCTGTCCAAAAGTTCTGAAGCATTTTTAACATTTTGGTCCGGATCTGTGGCTATCTTACTTAAAGCATTAAATATTGCAGAAAAGTGGCTTAATACTGCACCTCTCGACACCTTAACAACATTATAAAGAGACTCACAAGCATAATAACGAACTCTTAAATCTTGGTCAGATAAACATCCCAAAATAGGCTTAATTAATTCATCCGTGTAAGCACCTGTATCCTATATTAAAAAATAAGTTAATATAGAGAAAACTAATATTTATTTGCGTTACTTTTCCTAATGCAATAGCTATTGCAGCTAATCCAATAAGACCACCCTTCCTGGCATGAGGATTTTGGGAAACAGCAAAATCTTGCCCCAAAACTTTTAATAACTTTTTTATTTGTCCGCAATTATTAGCACTGGAAAACTCCTTCACCATCCTTAAAATTTATATGTTAAAATACGCCAAACCAAACAAAAAAATTACTTTTCTATCTCCAAAGCAGCCGTTTTTCTTTTGTCGTAAATTTTATCATGCAACGCACGCACGCATGCCGCGCTAAGGGGCGCGTAGTCTTTCTCGGACATTTCAATAAATAAGAAATAAATAGAGTAAATAAAACATTTAACTTAACCTAGGTTTGAGATTGACAAGAACTGTCATATGATTCGACAAACCTAACCTTGAATTACAGAATTTTGACACCATATACTTACGCAAGTATATGTTTGACACAAACACTTAGCGACATCTATGACAACAGTTATGAAGCTTATACTTTCTTGATATAAACGTAGATGTCTTTGTTTTTTTATTAAGTTTTTCAAGAAATAATCGCTTATTATTGAAAGAGAAAATATATTGATTTATGTTTAATTAAATTTCACTGTTGTTGGGATTAATTACTACTGCTAAAAAAAGTAAAAAATAAAAATACGGCATAATATCAATAATGCCAACATATGTTCCGCGTTGCCAACCTAAATACGAATGACAAATGGTCAATCAATGATTTTTAACGTTAAATTTACTATTTTGCCGCATTGGAAGTTTATTGGGCTATTCTAGGAAGTTATAAGGAAGTTTGTAGTATTATAAAATTATAATTAAGGCAAAGAAATCGTCAAATTTGATTTAAAACAGGACATGGAAAATAGAGCATTCAATCACCAATCATTTATGTGAAATTGGTAAACATGGCGTTGATTTTGGCGTCCGCCTATTCTTCACAATATGCAGTAAACTAAATAAAATCTGTGTTGAATCAGTTACTATTTAATCCGGAATATTGTGAGGAAGATAAAAAATATCGTAAGTATTATTTTTTTCTTTTTTTGAATGTACTGTAATTGGGATTAGTAGGTTAATTGTTTTTTTAGCCTACTTTGTAATTACCTTTGTTTTTAACTATGATACAATAGTCATAACCTTAGATTTTACGTTTTTTTAAATGTTTATCCTAAACACCTTGTGTTTTTGGAAAAAAACATTTTAGAACATGTTTTTATACAAACTTTTTTCCTATGATACTATTTATTGTAATGTTCTTTTTAGGTGTAAAACTGGCGGTGTTTTGCGATGAATTTCGGTTAGGAGGTCAGTTAAGTAAAGAAAAAGGGAAATGGGTTGGTCCGGGGCCCTGCCTCAGTTTTAATGTTGAGGTGTCATGCAGTCTGAGCCAGCACGGTACATCAATTCGGTGTCCGATCTTTTGTACAGCACTGACGAAATCGAGCTGCTGCTTGACGAAATTAGAGACCTGGAGCCGACAAGCTGCAAACCTGAAGACATTCAGGTACTTTAAAGTTTAAACTGATATTTTTGTAGATGAAAAGAAACTAGATTTACCTTTGTGATTTCTATTTTGAATAGTTTTCTACTGTTTTATTTTTAGTTAGATTTATTTTTGTTATTGCATGATATTTTTTTTGTATTTTCGTAAATAAATTTTTGTTTTCAGTTAAATATTTTAGTTTTATTTGATTATAAAAACCTTGGAATGGTAAAATTTTGTGTTTTTAGTGCAAATTTACAGAAATATTGAAAATAATATAAGATCTACAATTTTATTTTTAATGGAAATATTTGAATAAAAAGTGAGTGGATATTTGTATTGTTGTAACTTCGCGATGTTGCCAAATACAAAAATTTGATGACAGTTTTTTTAAAATAATAAGTCAGATGCGACTTGAAAAAAACGGTCCGTTTTTTTTGTTTTTTTTTTCATTGTTTTTTTTCAAATGGTTTATTTTTCATATTTTAGGTTTTTTTTTTCAAGATTAGTCCCATTTGCCTAATTTTTTAGGTGTCATGGACTAAAATTAGCCACTAAATGACTATTAGTAAATGTAAATACAGTCTCGCGCTATGCACGCGCCACCACCACCGAATTGCCCAATAAGGGCCGCGCTTGTTTTCATTTTGGTCCTAAAAAAAGTAACTACATATAATATTTTTGATTCAGCCTTTGATTTTTCAAAAAGCTTCCAAAAGCACTTTTTTCATGATTTTTCAAATTCATGTAGAGTATGGAATTATTTTTTCAAAAAAACAATACCAAATTCTTGTAGAACATTTATCAGGGTTCCCGTTTGTCATAAAATTTTTAAATATCATAAAATTGGTTAAATTGTCCTAAAATGTCATAAAATTCACATTTTGTCATAGAAATCATAAAATTTCATTATTTTTTAACAATTTTCTCAGCTTTGATCTTTTTTATAAAATGAAAATTTTGTAAAATAACATTTAAAGCCGGTCCTGTAGAATAAAACGCAATAAAATGTTTTAAATATGGCCTTGGTTGTTGACGTATGAACTTCATGCTATGAAGTTTGGTTAGGAAATGAATTTTAAATTTGAAATAAATAATGAGAAAGGTAAATTTATTTTTATACTACTATACTTTTTCTACGTTTCCAAAAAATACCATAGAAAAATAATTTAATTGGAAGAAAGTGAGGTTGGATCGGTCTAAAATTTGTTAGATATTAAAAACAGAGATGTCGCCACGAGTGTTTATTCTGTCATCAGATGATAGAATATTTCATTCTGTAACACTTTACGGAATATATGTAATTCCATAGATAAAAGTGAAGGGTCAAATTCCGTAATAGGAGTAGAAAAATATTATTTCTGAAAGAAATAAGAAATTATCGAAGTACCTTAACAATAACTACATAACTACTCTTAAAAAATCTTTAATATTGGAGGCTCAAACAATGATTAACAAGGGTCTAAAAAAATAAAAAAAATAGTACCTATAGGTATATATACTATTTTTTTTTTGCTTTTTTGATACCCATGTTAATCATTGTTTGAGCCTCCAATATTTCATATTTGTATACCTTTGTGGTTTTATTTATTTTGAGATTATAATACCTATTATAATAAAATACTATTTAGTAACATATATTAAAAATATTATAGCAGAAATATTTATTTTGATGCGAGAAAAAATATTTTCTTACGACCTCGACGGTCAAGCTATACGTATTTTCGGCCGAGGTAGTAAGAAAATGTAATTTTCTTACTACCTCGGCTGAAAATACGTTGTTTTGTCCCCGATTCCACCTCCACCGCCCTCTATAATATCGCTCGCGTACACATTTAATTTTTTCCCGTATTTTCGGCCGGGTAGCAAAAAAAATAGTATACACTACACGGGCAGAAAGTGTGAGAGCCCTGAACTGCGCGCCATGATGCCCTCGGCTTCGCCTCGGGCATCATGGCGCGCAGTGCAGGAATCTCACACTTTCTGCTCGTTTAGTGTAATAAACCGTTAAAAAATTGCATTTATTTTATTAAATAACTTTAGAAATAATAAATTCTTGTCATAAAAAGTGTCATAAAATTTGAAAAATTTGTCATAAAATCATAAAAAAAAAGTACAAAACAATGCTGGGAACCCTGATTTATTCATTGGTGGTTAAGTCAGAACATTTCTTGGACCAGAAAGCCAAAAAAATCGATTTTTTTATTACGGTATTTGTTAGGATTGAGCGTTACACATTTTTCATCTAAAAATCTCAAAACTAGAAACTTCAAGCTTCAAATTGCTTTTTTTACGGCTCCAATACGACCATTTTTAACAAAGATACATCTATCCGAAGAATCGCAAAACAATTTTTTTTATCCTTTAATTTTTTGTTCGCTGTGGCTCCCGTCCCGAGGCGGGACTTAAGTTCAGTCCCGATTGACGTCATAATTTTAAGATTTGTTATGTTATAATAAAATAATAATAATAATAAATTGTACCTGTATACATGTTAAGGGCACTTTAGTTACGTCATAAAACCAAACCAACCCAAACTCAACAACACAACCCAACCGACCCCGCCCCATTGGGCCCCCCCCCGCCCCATTGAGCAAAAAACCCAACTAAAATGGGCAAATTTATGTTACGATAAAAATAAAACACTTTTTAACAAAGAAACAACAAATTTATAAAATAAAAAAAATAAAAAAAGTTTGACAACTTCTAGTGGAATCGAACCTGGTACCTCTCGCATGCCAAGCGACCGCCCTACCATCTAAGCCATCGAGCTTGACACAAATTATAAAATCTCGGGGAATAAAAACGGATTTACAGTGTGTGACGTCAATCGGGACTGAACTTAAGTCCCGCCTCGGGACGGGAGCCACATCGTTTTTTGTTTTGGTGTAGAAATTTTACATTGCATAAGAAATCAGATTTTTTAGTCTCGGTCAATATTTTCAATAATGAAAAATTTAATATATTCTACATTTCACTTTATTATTAATATAATATATTATATTTTACTCAAAATTTCATTTTGAAAAAAAAACCGTTTTTTTTTCTAGTTTTTTTTTTATGTTTTTTTTCACATCTGATAAAAACCGTTTTTTTACATTTCTAGATGTAGGTACCTAGGTTATTAATCTATGCCTATTCGGAATATATATAGGCTATTCCAATGATGCACACATTCTTTTTCTCCAAACTTACACAATGTTGTCAAGTTTAAACTTAAATGTAATTAGTGGAAAAATATTTGTTTTCTTATGCTCTTATCATGTTGCCAAACAGAGCTGGAAGTATCTTTAACTTGTATCTAAAAAAGTATCCAAGTTACTAAGATACATTCAAGTAACTTAGATACTTTAAAGTAACTAAGATACTTTTTAAAGTTACTTAGATATGAGTACCTACATTAGATGCAAAACTGGGTTTTTGCAATTGCAATAATATATATTTTATCCTATTTATGTTCATAACTGCACTGCCCACAGCATACCTAAGTAAACCAGATGCATAAGTTAATATTTGTAGAATAAAATACATTTATAAACTTAACGCAGGTGCAAAACTGGGTATTTGTTTCTTCCTGTCGGATGCAAAATTTGGTTTTTACTGTGGACCAATCACGTCGCTAGTATACGCATTAAGTGACGACATAACAATTACCTGATTAATTGTTATTTTTTGGTATTTGCACTTTTCACTTGCAAAACTTGGTCTTTGAACGAGGAAGATGCAAAACTATGCTTTTAAATCTTTTGATTTCAATTATTTACTAATTATTTACTACTTAATTTTAAAGGATTTTTTTTTTTTTTACTTTTTTTGAATAAGAAATGATGCAAAATCACGTTTATACAATTTTTGCATTTTTTTTTTTAAATGACCTTAAGAGCGGTTTTTCGTGTTTTTCTTAGAGAAAATTGAGGGAATTCCAGAATGATTAAAAGTAATTACTTACATAACATACAACTTGTTGAATTTTCATAATTTTACAGTTTTTATTCATACCTACTTACAAGTAACTTACTCAAAATTATCTTAGTTACTCAAAACTTTTGAGTCAAAAGTATCTTAGATGCTTCCATATAGTATCTTAGATACTTTTGGATAGTAACTAAAGATACTTTCAACTCAAAGTATCTAGTTACCCGAGGTAACTAAGTTATTTTGTTTAAAGTATTTTACAAAAGTAACTAGATACTTTTCAGAAGTAACTTTCCAGATACTATATTTAAAGTTTTTATTATAAAATAATATAGTATAATTTTATTAGGTACCATTGGACATTTTCAATATTTCCAACACTTATTTATTTTGCGTATTTTATGTAGGTTTTAGAAAATTTAGGTAGGTAAGTAATTTTAATTGTAGCTTGCCAAAATAGTGTTTTATATAATTTCACATTACATAAACTTTATCACCCATCACTTGCTTATATTTTATATTGCACACTAAACAATTTCCATATTTTTTTACTTTTATAATAAAACTTAAATTTTAAAAGAAGGCAAAATTCAAAATTTGCCGTTGCCAAATGTACAATACTTTGTTAAAAAAATGGAAATTGTTTACCTCAAAAATGTCTTTTTGTTTTCGTTCACGTTAGTCGCATATGCATGATGTGCTGTTCCAGGAGGAGTGCAGGAGTGGTATGAGTTGTGTGTTGCAGGACTTCGAGATAGCGGGCAGCGGGTGCGGCGGCGTGGGGACGGCGAGCGGCGGCGCAGGTGGTGGCGGCTCGTCGTCCGTGGGGGCGTGCGACTGCGAATCGCCGCTCGACACTGTCAACTCGTGGGACTCGCACTCGCACTACCGCCGTCGTCTGCATTCGCCCGATCTCTCCCTCTACTCGGGCGTCATCGTCTACTGCGACCACCACCACATCAAGTCGCCCACCGGCTTCTTCCGGCTACTACTACTGGTAAAATGTTTTTCGTTAATATTAATTAAGACGACCCAGTAGTCAGTCTATACATACATTGATTTTTTAATGGGTTAACACTGCCCTTTTTTAAATTTAAGTTTACCTACCTTATATGTTTTCTTCTATACAGTGTGACCCATTTGTTTGCGACTCACCCCTGTAAAATCTTTATTTATAGAGTAATTGCATCAAAAATGAAAATCCCTAAAAACCTTTTTAATGTAATCTAGAGGTAAAAACACATTGCGAAAATATTTTTTTATATTCCAAAAGTTCAACCCGGCCCCAAAATATCAAATTGAAAAAAAGGTACTTTTTTTAAGGTTATCTATCTGTCAGTTAAACGCTATTTCGTCTTATTTGCTTAAAATAATACAATATTTGTTTGTGTTTTTTTTGTTTATAAAGGTCTTGGAACACAAGCCAATATACATATTTTGTGTTATTTTCACAAAATAGTACATAATTAGCGTTAAACTGACAGATAGATAGATAGACCTCATGTATTGGTATTTGAATGTCAAGGTGGAACTTTTGGGTGTGGAGCATAGTAGGTACATTAGTTGTAACCTATGGATGCGCAAAATGCTCGTGCGCACATTTTGCGACTGTATTGTAGTTTACTTATCTGTAGTCTTCCCTGCGCATGCTATTTGGCGTAACATATTATGCCTTGTGGTTGAGAGTTACTTCTCCTTTATTTAGTCTTCTTGCTTTAAAATCGTTTTTGTCTGGAGCCTGTATGCTTTGGAACCTGGGGTAGGGTTTTAACCTTTGAAAAAAACGATAAAATTGGAGAAAAAACTGTTTTCACCCAGGCCTTGCAAAATTTGTCTTTTTGTAAAAAATATTTTTTTTTGAGTTTGAGTTTGCATTTACCAAAGTGTTCTGGAAATTTTATTAAAAAAATTCAAGTATTACAGATTTTATACCCTTTCAATTTTTTTAAAATTTAGTAAAAGAAATAATAAAAATTATAAATGGTATAAAACCTGTAATTCTTCAATTTTTTTAATAAAATTTGAAATTTGTCGATAAACTTCAGTGAATTAAATATTGTACCACTTTAATTTGAATTATCTTAATTTGGAGGGGCAGGAGGCTGGGGGTTGCACTTAAAAACTAACTTTTTTTCGCAAACTTGTCTATATAATGTCAATATAAACTCATATAAATTTGATGTGGGTCCCATGTCTAATAACTGAGATATGGGTGTGCCCAAAATCCACCAGCCGCCACTGACTGAAGGGTCTATACTAAAACCGTATTACTATTGAAATGGATTTGTGTGCGTGACGCGTTCCCAGGACAAACATTTCTTAAAAGTACATGCTCATTTTCAAAAAATGTGCAAACCTTCAGTTTTATATTGAAACAAAATAAAATAAATTATTTTATAGCATAGTTAACTTTTTTGTTGTAGCTGACTACAATAGCATGTCTGGCGTGCCTGTGCACTTCGGGGACCGTAAAAGTGGGCCTTTTTATGCTTCCATTGGTGGGAAGACTGCGATACATGATGTTTGTGACGCTACTGAGTTTATTCGTCACTGCGTCCCTATTGTTTCTTGACATTTCCCATGTAATTTATCTGTTTCCCTTTAATTGGGGTAAAGTGGTAAGTAGACGTTTTTTTAAGTTTAAAAAAATATTAATGATTTTTGTTTCTTTTTTAGAATGCATATTTGTATGTAAGCCTTAGTGTGTTGTTCCTGATAGCTTCGTCGTTAATTTTCCATATGATTTTTATATCAGAGGCCTTTGCTTGGGTTCCCAAATGGACTTTACACCAACTACTAGTTACTGGGGTAAGAAATTAAAATTTATTTTATCTATTTTGCGTTCATAATGACTTTATTGTAACCCCGCTTTCCGTGCTGTAATGAGAGACTTTACCCCACCCAAAAATTTGATTTTATAGGTTGGCTATACTTTAAACAGCATGGTAGTAAAACAATATTTTGCATATTGGTTATATTTTTATGATTTTGTGCCGTATACGGAAATCCTCTTATAATCTATAGGCGACGATTCACTGAATCGGATTCAGTTATGTTTTTCATTTGCTAGTGTTTATTTCAATCGTTTTAACATAAATTTATTTCTTTGATTTAAAATTTATTAAAATTAAATTAAAATATTTAAGTTATAATGTCCTACACACTGCAAGAGAAAATTGACATGATAAGCTGGTCTTTAGTGGGCAATTCTCTACGAGCCATTCCACGCGTAACGGATAGGATAGTTGCCGTGTTTTTATTTAAAAAATAATATTGTTCTATTATATTACCAATGTCAAATTTTTATAAATAGTTCTAAACTAAAGCTGTTTAACAAGGTTTTTATTTGGCAAAATTAGGTATCGTGGTTGACTCTTTAATTCCTTAAAAACTAATAATTTAAAGCGTAACGGTTTTTAAGGAATTAAACAGTCAATCACGATACCTAATTTTGCCAAATAAAAACCTTGTTAAACAGCTTTAGTTTAGAACTATTTATAAAAATTTGACATTGGTAATATAATAGAACAATATTATTTGGAAATAAAAACACGGCAACTGTAGTATCCGTTACGCGTGGAATGGCTCCTACGTCAAACAAGTTAAATATCTGGAACGTTCTATTCCGTCAATTAGAACAATAGCAAACGTTTGAAAATAAATAAATTATTTTAAGCTTGTGTTTAAATAATAATTTATTATTTTTATTAATTAATTTATTTATTTACATTCATTTTAAGAATTTTCATTTTTAAATTGTGAGTTACTGATTAAATCGTTGTATTAACTGTTTCATAGCAGATAGTACGATTTAACTTTTATGCTTATGCACTAAATTGTGAATTATGAAATAAATTAATGATATGAAGTTGTATAAACCCGCCATTAGTTTTGTTTTAAGAGAATTCATTTATTTATTTTAATTTGTTTTCAAGAGAATTATTTAATTTTTTATTTTAGTATTTAAGAATTTTAGAATTTTTATGTTTAAACGTTTTTTTTATAAGAAAACATTTTTAGTTAAATGCAAAACGAATAATGATTTTACACCTTTAATTAATAATTTACTGTCAAAAGTGATTACGTTACATTTTAAGTATCTGAATCATTTTTAAAAGTAAATTCGAATTAATAATCCAGAGGAAACTTCGACTACCACCCAACGCCGGTGAAGGGTCTACTGCTGAATTACGAAAACCATCTCTCGGGCCGAGAGTCTCGGCGTTTCCCACTCTTATAAATTATTCTTCCACACTTAAAAACCGAATGTAAAATGAAAATACGGTATGAACAATTGACGTCCCCGAAATGTGAACGATTTTTTGTTTGTCATGGATTTTTTTCATAAAATTAATTCGTTTATTTCTGGCTTTGACCAGTGGTGTTACAAATAGAGGGGAGAATACTAATAATAAGAACAATATTATAAATCGTTCTATTTTTTTATTAATATTTTAATAAAAAAATATAAACAATATTACAAATAAATTAACTTTATTTTGGTTTTGTACAACAATAATAACAAGTAGATAAATAAAAAATAAAAATAACATATTGCTCAAGAAAATTATTCTTTAAGTGAAATAGCTGCAGATTTAAATGTCTTCCCAAGAATATTCAACAGCATTCCGTAGTTAATTTTGGTTTGCTGGCATAAAGTCCTGTTAATATAAATTTTAACTATAAAACCCTCCACGTTTTCAATGGGGTTTAAGTGGGGTTTAAGTCGGCACTTCTAGCAAAACAGTTATGTGGTTGTTGTTTACCCACTTTGTAACCACGCAAGCTGTGTGAACTGGTGCATTGTCCTGTAATATAAAATTTATTAGAATTATTTTTGTATACCATACAGTTTTCTAACATGTTGAGTATAAAATTTTCTGGAAACACATGTCTAACTGAAGGTAGCATAACGTTGTCCAAAATCGTCTCATAGTGCTCAGCCGTTAATCTACCATCAATTTCCCAACATATTCCCGCACCATGGACGCTTATCCACGCCCAAACATTTATGGAAAAGCGTTCACTATTTGAGGTTCTTAATATGTAGTTCTCCTCAAATCTTGCGTCACTTCACAGCAAACGGAAAATTATAGAAGTGTATAGGATGACTCCGCGTTTGAATATCAAATCTTAAAGTTTTATCATAACTGTATTGAATCGTGCTTTGTTTTTATATTTTTCGGCTCTATATCTATGCACGACTGTATTTAAAGTCAAACTCAATGGTGTCTTACAAGATACATTATTTTGATTTTCTATATTCAACAGAGGAGTAGAAACTCGACCCTGTCGAATGGTGCAGTCATTTATGTCTCTAGAAATTATTAAAAAAGGGTTCAGTCCAATGGTGCAGCAACTTCGGATTCCTATTCTCCTCAGAGACATAGAAACTCAAGCTTTTCGAATTTTACTGGCAATGATTTTCGTTAATGTCCCCGAGAATTATACAAAAACAGCGCAATGCAATATCGCAACGGTTTCGATTTCTCTTTACTCTACCAAGTTATAGAAACTGGAGTCTCTCTAATACTGTTCTAGTCAATATTTCTGAGAGTATAAAAAGAGGGTGTAATATTGCAAGAAGTTTTGATCTTTTGATGGATGCAAGTAGTTTGAATTTTCTCCTTTCTGCATATGATTTTGTTGAAAATAGTTCCTTTCTTTGGTTCCTTTGTCTGATTTTTAGTTACCGTAACAACTCATACCTGCAGGTATGTAAAGCACAGATGATATGATGTTAAGTATATTTATGTATTATATAAAGTACCTATATTTGTATTAAAAATTTCAGAGGTTATATTGAAAAAATGATCGATATGCTATTAAACTTTAATAATTTAGTAATTAGGTCTGTTGGTAGACCCTGCACTATCTCCACTGGTATATGTTAGTTTTGTAATATTTAAATCTAGTTGATGAAAAAGTACACACCAGTGCAGGTTATTGTATCATCTACGAACAAATGAATTAATGGCCCATTGGCAATTATTCCTTTAGGAAAAATATTCAACACAGCTAAATTAATTAATAAAATGAAAAAAATCACAATCATGTCGTATATAGTTTTTTTTAAGCATAAAATAATTTTTATATTAATACTAGTTCAAAAGTGAAATTACGACCTCTATACTGTGGAGGGTATTGAAACGCTCGACTGACGAATACAACTCTATACCGTAGGGAGATTTAGAAAACGATATTCAAACGTGGCGTCATCCTATACACCTCTATGATTTTCCGTTTGCTGTGTTGGTCCATTATTGCAAGATTGGAACGTTTTTTTCATAAGAAAATATAACATCATTCCATAATTTAGATAGTCATTGGCTAATTGGACTCTTCTGTGCATATTTTCGTCAGTTAAAAAACCTTATGAGCATTTTCGTAGATTTTACCTACACTGATAGGTCTTCTCAATCTTTGTTGTTCTTACAAACGTTTCTTGATATAAAATATTCAGCTTTTACTGACATTTAAATCTGCAGCCACTTCACTTAAATACCAATTTTCTTCTAATTTGGCTAATGCCTTGGACCTCTGAGCCTTAGTTAAGTGGGGTGGCAATTTTAATATTGCAATTGACAACTACGAGCCCTAACCACATAATGTTCGGACACTTCATAATTTATACAGAAATTTTTTTCGTGAATACTATCTCAAAATTATTAGAAGTTATGAAAAATTCAGCTTATTTTGGCATATACCCCTCGAAGCGATTTTTATTTTTAAAAAGTTTACCTTTTATTTTTAGCTTTTAAAAAAAGGCTAACTTTTTAACTTTTTTTTGCATGAGTAAAAAAAGTTATAAATGGGCCCATTAAAAAGAACATAAAATATTATACAAACCCTGAAAATTTGGTAAAAATTGTATAAATAATAAGAAAGTTATAGCGATATATATATCTGCAAAATCTCCCGTTTCCTAAGAAAATTGCAAAAACTCTTTAAAAATAGCATTTTTAAATTACTTATACTTTTTTATAACTTATTTATTTTTTACCAAATTTTCAGGGTTTGTATAATATTTTATGCTCTTTTTAATGGGTCCATTTATAACTTTTTTTACTCATACAAAAAAAAGTTAAAAAGTTAGCCTTTTTTTAAAAGCTAAAAATAAAAGGTAAACTTTTTAAAAATAAAAATCGCTTCGAGGGGTATATGCCAAAATAAGCTGAATTTTTCATAACTTCTAATAATTTTGAGATAGTATTCACGAAAAAAATTTCTGTATAAATTATGAAGTGTCCGAACATTATGTGGTTAGGGCTCGTATTATCAAGTTTGACAACTACCGACAACACTGATACAAAGCCCATATTACACGATTAAATTTTGCCGTTCACATTTCGGGGACGCGAATTGTACATAACATTTTGACATATAATAAACAACGATTTTCCAGTGCCTGGGATACGTCTGCAGCCTAGAATCAGCAGTGATAGCCCTGGTCCAAAGATGGTCGATGGACTACTACCAGCCAGTGACTGAGGACCCAAGCATGAACCTGCAAGAGCGTCAAATGTCCCCGGGCGATTCCCCCGAGCACAGGGTGCCGAACCAAACAACGCACAACTACAAGCCTATAGTGAACTATCCTGTCCCGTCAACGTCGCGGCAGGAACCTCACAATTACCTGGACGACGTGCAGCCGTGTTCGAGCAAAAGCAGCGACCCCTACCGGGTGGTATGATCAACAATTTGCCTTCGATGTCATTGTACAGTATGTATTATGCATGTTTTGTCTTTTTGTATGTTCCAGGGTGCCGTTGCAAGTTATGTCAAATAACGAGATGACCTATTATGTTTTGTACCTTGGTGCGAGTGCTGATAATAAAACCAATTAAATCATTTTCTTCTTAAAAAAATGATAAACATTTAAAGTAATAAAAACTTTATCCAAAATTATTAAAACATAAATAAAGCATTAAATTTTGATCCTAAAAAAGTATTAAAAATCATCAAAAGGGTAAAACCTACCAAAATAGTAAAAAATATAGCTCTAAAACAAGAAGACTAAATACAGGAGAGTAACTTGCTAGGTGGGGGGCTATTTTCAAATGCAGTTGTCGGCGTGTTTTTAGAGGATTTTTAAAAAATGTTCAAACTTAAATATAAATTATCTTAGGTAAAGTTATCATTAGTTTATTCGGCACCAAAAAATATACGTACCGAATTGGATCCTTTGGCAAAACATAAAAATGCAACGATTTAGTTCTTTACATTTACAATTAAAAACATAATAATTCATCATAATCACTTAGATAAAATACATACAATAACGTAACTATACAGGGTGTCCGGGAAAAGGAAGTCAATCCGTTAACCATATATTCTTTGAGTTAAAATAATAAGACTTTCATTATACCATTTTTCAATTTAGAGCTTCATGTTCGATATACAGGGCGACAAAGTTTGAAATTTAAAACTGATTTTTTTTAATAATTCGAGTAATTGATAAGATATTAAGTTCAAATTCGGTACACTACTTCAACATAAATAGTTAGGTACATTTTTTGAGACCAACAAAACAAAAAACAATTGTCAAATAATCAAAATAGGGGGGTCCAGTACTCACTGACTCCCCCTATTTTTAGTACGTGCGCCAATGACTTCCAAACGGTATTTTTTCAGGTAATCATTTATTGTTAAAAAAAATTTGTTTCTTATAAAATTTTGATAAAATTATTTGTTTTAGAGATAATTTGTAAAGTATGGGTCAGTCCATATCAAATCAACCAAAGGTTCTTTCCCCACCATCTCCGATTTTGATAATTTTTGGTAAATTTGTTTACCTCACTAAAAAACTCAAAAATCCCATATATGAATTTTTTTCGATGGGTGGTTTTTGTTTTATTGATTTTTGAAAATCAAAAAATTCCGATAAATTTGGATTTTGCAAAAACTTACAAAAATAGCGATATCTCGTAAACTATTAAAAGTAGAAAGGTGAGTGATGGCTTATTTTAAAGGCCTGTTAGAGACCTTTTTTATGATATATCACATGACCCAAATTTTTTCAAAACAAAATTAAATTTCAAAAATTTGATATGGATTGACCCATACTTTACAAATTATCTCTAAAACAAATCATTTTATCAAAATTTTATAAGAGACAAAAAATTTTCAACAATAAATGATTACCTGAAAAAATACCGTTTGGAAGTCATTGGCGCACGTACTAAAAAATAGGGGGAGTCAGTGAGTACTGGACCCCCCTATTTTTATTATTTGACAATTGTTTTTTGTTTTGTTGGTCTCAAAAAATGTAACTATTTATGTTGAAGTAGTGTACCGAATTTAAACTTAATATCTTATCAATTACTTGAATTATTAAAAAAAATCAGTTTTAAATTTCAAACTTTGTCGCCCTGTATATCGAACATGAAGCTCTAAATTGAAAAATGGTATTATGAAAGTCTTATTGTTTTAACTCAAGGAATATATGGTTAACGGATTGACTTCCTTTTCCCGGACACCCTGTATAAGCATATAAGCGTTGAGTTTTTAATCAATGATAATATATATTATAAGGAATAATAAATCGAAATAAATAAATAAATCAAGTACTAAACCAAAGATTGGCTGTTTTTACTTACTGTGCAATTGAAACTTTGCGAACAAAATTTTTGAAAAAACTACTTTTTTATTTAAAAATGATGTACAATTCGTATGCTTTAAATGTATTGTTGACAAACCTTGTGGTTCAATAATGCTATCGAGCGAATACAAATAATTGAGGTTATTTATCTGTCTATCTTATTTTGTCTTATTTGCCGAAAATAATATAAGTACCTAATTTTTGTGTATAAAAGTCTTAATTTAAAACACAAAATATGTTGAATTATTTTCACAAAATAAAACAATTCATGCATTAGCATTTGCGGTGGTTGCTAGACTGAGGGGGGGGGGGGAAATAGAAAAAGCTACACCATTGCAGACGCGCGCGAAATTAAAAAAGTAGCCCTTATTTGAGCTATTATTTTAAAAGCAGTAAGTCTCAACCTCAATGCGGTAATTACTCCTCCTTTATTTATTTTTCTTGCTTTAAAATCGTTTATTTTATCTTGAGCCTGTATTGTATGCTTTGTAACTAAAGCGGAAAAATTGGAAAAATAATATTTTTCCCCTGGCTTTGTGAAAATTGTCTTTTTTGTGATTTTTTTTTAATTTAAAAATACACACATTTTAATAAAAGGAGTATTTTGTATGATATTTATGAATAAATGCTTTATTTTTACTTAGTAAGGCGGTTTATAACTTTTTTTACTTGTCATCTGTCAAAAGTATCAATCAGAGCACTTTTTTTTGTCAATTTTTGACCAATTAAAAGTAATTGGACCAGTACAAATTCGATGCTTTTTGATTTGAATTTTTTTGAAATTTTGGTCCTAATAAAATTGTCACCCATAATATAACAAGTGGTATGATTATCATCGATGATTATTTTTGAATTGAAACCGAGCTGCCGATTTCACGAGTTCGCAGGACGAGTGAAATGTGCTGCTTAGGTTTCAATGAGTAAATATCATCGATAATTAATCATACCACGAGTTATATTTAGTGAGAAAATATAATGAATTTTAGGATTTAACTAATTTGACATTTGAAATTAAAATGTGCTTTAAAATATAAAAAGACTTTAATAAACCTTATTTATTCAAACTTACCTTAATTTTATTATCGTTTACACCAACCCATCGATCTTTTAGAGTTTATAATTTATTATTTTAATCATTTAACAAACATAGTATTTAAATGTCAACAAATGTCAAATCAAGAAAAGTGTCAAAATCCTTAGCAACGTGTAAACAAGGTGATTAAAAATATTGTCGCTGTGATAAAATGCGTAACCATGGAATACTGGCATTTTATTGGTTCTAATTATAATGAATTGTATTGTCCTCCAAATGCCACTCGTAATCAAAAATATATGTTGAATATTTTAAAGTGTTTAAGCGAATATTGTTTTTATTGTATTGTATTGTATTCGACATATATATTTTTAATTACGACGACGGAGGACATTTATTATTATAAAATTTCCCAATATTTCAAAAAAAAAAATTTGTTCAGCCGGCTCAATTTTCCCGGAAATTTAAAAACACTAACTGGGGTCAAGGTGCATAGTCAACGAGGTCGTCTCGTTATTTGACCCGTACCTTGCCATTTGTATGGATCTTGTCTTGCGAATGAATTTTGTTTTGGAATTTTTAGGCAGAAAAAGAATTTCGTCCAAAACAATTTTTGTTCAGATTTTATATCATTGCTTAAAATGTTAAAGCCTAATCTAAAATTTCATATTTTTGATAGAATATTAGCGAATAATAAAAACTTAAAACAATTTTTAAAACGCAGTGATATAAAAATTATTAATTATAATTAATTGATTTGATGTAAAAAATGTAATATATTTAAATTTATGCAATATTTGCAAGTTAGTATACGTATATTACATTCAATTCACTTGTTTAAAGCAGTCCACATAAACGATTTTATTGTATATAGTGTTTTATTAATTATTTTAATTTTTTGTACACAAAATTATGTACAACTTATATTTATTCCTGCACTCATCAAATAATTGTTACCTAAAGCATTCCTAAACTCATTGTTATTGTTTTCTGATATTTTATTAAACATGGTGTCCCGAAAATGGTGCACCACACCACTTTCTGATAAAAATGTTTGCAACTTAAAAATTCCATAAGAAACAAGTTTATGCATTTTTAACTTTTTTGTGGATTTTTCTTTGCTAAAACGACTTGCAAATATTTTATTCAATATTAAGTTAAACAGTTCATACTGACTATGTACAATTGTATCAAACAGCATATCTGAAATAAAAAACAATGCTTTTTATGTGTTTTAAACAATCACAAAATTTAACAAAATGTCAGCGAAAAATCGTCCATAGTAAATAGATAACAAGCATTGTTTTTCTCTGTACAGAGTGAATCATGTGAAGGGTTTGATATGCTTTAACTGAAAAATATTTTTTGTATAACTTAAAATTTAAATCTTTAAAAGTTAGACATAATAATACACTCATGGGCAAAAGTAGTGCAAGTTTTTATGTTTAACCTTAAAGCATTGTAGTACATATCTGAAGTATTAATCATTTGCACTCCATCTGTTATATGCTTTAAGAGACAAACTGTCAATTAAATTTAACGTTGTAAATGCCAGAAATGAGTTTTGCAGACAATTGCATTCAAGAAAAACTGTATTGTACTGCTTTTAAATAAAAGTACAATAAAGTTGACATTACACAAATTTTAAGCTGAAAAAATGCTTTAACTTTTTCTTCTCTTTACTATAAGGTTTATAAAAACATTTCACAAAAATACAGTTTTTTTTCTATATTTTGGCACTTACTACGCTGTTTCGTTAAAGCATTAAATTTAATTTTTCGGTACAAAATTAAAATAGTTTTGCTCACAAGTGTTAATTCCCGGAAATCTCCTAATCTAAAAAACGGTTCTGTTCTCTTTATACAGGGTGTTACTGTATGTTTTAGCTTGCACACATTAAAATTATTTTTGCAAAATAGACAGAATCTTTTTTATATTGGGGATAGTTAATTTTTAAGGTCTTTAACAAAATCCGCATTTAATTTAGAAATAATAAATCGCGAAAAACAAACTGTGTTCAACTCATTATATCGTTAATATTACTTTATGTTGTGAAAACACACATTTATTTGTTTTGTGTTCAATGTTTTTATTGTACTGGGCAAGTCAAAAGATTCTTTGGTAAAGCTAGATCAAACAGAAAAAAATGTACTTTTTGACTTTCCCTGTATAATTTGGTAGCATTTTCAATAATTCTTTATATCACAAAACTGCCAAACAACAATACTAGCCAAAGATAGATATTTTCTAAAGAATTAGTTAACAAAAAAATGGGTATGTAACACTTTTCAGGACAGTATATTGGCAGACAATCAAGGCGATATATATTTAGTTTTCTCTCTTATTTAGAGTAAATCTATTTGTGTTTTATAGCGTGATTTTATATACAAAACGAGTAATAAAAAAAGTGAATAAGGAATTTGAGTTTTATTTTACCACTATTTGTATTTTTCAGAAAAATAAATTATTACTCTGATATTTTTTTATTTTTACAATTTGAAGTATTGTTTACTAAAGGGTGGGCCATGTTTATGTTGAATTATAAAATAGCAATGGGAACAAGAAAAACTGATTTTTTTTCAACGAATTTTGCTTTATTTGATACAATGTTTCTTCCGATTAAGTATGGAAAATGATTTTATTTAAGTGGCCACCTCA